AAGGCTAGACTCAAACTTATCCTCCTCCTGCCTCAGCCTCCCAGAGTGCTGGGATTACAGGCAGTCACCACGATGCCTGGCTAGTACTGTACTGTTTTTAAATTCCTTCCTTCCTTTGTCTGTCTGTCTTGTACTGGAGATCAAATCCAGGACCTTGCACATGCTAGGCAAGTGCTCTACCGTTCAGTGATGCCCTCTGGCCCAAATGTTGTATTTTTTAAAAAATTCCATTTATCTATCCATTCATTCACTCAGTTTTTTGAGACAGGATCCTTGACTTACGATGTAGCCGAGGCTGGCTGTGAACTCATGATCATCCTGCCTCAGCCTCCTTAGTGCTGGGATTACAGGCATGGATCATTATACCCAAGTAATATTCCTTTAGTTTTCAAGATTTAGCTTAATAAGATTCCAAGTCACAGAGCTTTGCAGTTTTCAAAGGTCTTTCCCATGCATTATCCTATGTGGCTCACAGAACTGCTCCATAAGGTAAGCTTTATCGTTCTAATTTTACCTATGAGAAAACTGAAGCTCCAAAAAAATTAAGTGACTTGTCTAAGGTGTCATGACAGTGGCAAGGCAAGGTCTCCCAGCCAAGGTCCAGAGCACTTCACAGCCTTTGTGTTCTCTGGTTGCCTTACATGAAGACAGAGCAGGAAAAGGAATCTGTTAACCGGAAGCACAAGGATGACATCTATTCACTGCCCAGACTGTCAAGAGAACTATGACGAGGTCAGTTAACTGTGACCCCAACAAACCTTAGCGTTTAACTGGCAACACAACTGATTTCACATCTCTTCTTCCTCACTGCACTGAGAAGAGCTAAATCGAAAGACAACCAGGAGAAAGAAAAGGGTCTAAGCTTCCAGTAAGAGTTTACCAAATCACACACTCATTTGTGCACATCTTTTTTTAACTGATAGTCTTTCTTAAGAATCGTATTAATGCAAAGAAAATGAATCTAAATATGACTTTAACCCATTTGTTATCAGAATTTCTGACCTTGGGGGAGGCAGTGAAAGTCCCAACTGAGTTCAAATTCCAGCTCAACATTTCCCTTAGCAGAAAGACATGGGAAAATGACTTTCAGCCTCGGCTTATCTCATAGGGTGGTCTGAGCCTCACTCAAAGCAGCTGATTAGGAGTTCCCTGTCTCTATGCTCGTCTTTTTAATGTAATTGTGTTATCATCTCATGTGGAAAACAAACATTCTTAAAATACAAAAGCAATACAGTCTGCTGTATTTAATTTTTTACCAGAATAGCTCCTAAATGCTAGCTTGCTTTCTTTGCAAATGTAACACTGAGTATACTTATAAAACACATAATAGCACCTTTAAGGACAAACCATGTCCACATATGTAGCTACTTTTCATAGGCAGAGAATAAGTACCTAGAATCACAGAGGGTGTCTTTTACCTTCATTGTGGGATGGGTTTATCAGGAAGGGAGAACCATGGCCCCCGGGGCCCTCACCTGTGTTTGAACCGGGCCCTTACCTCAGACAATTCCCCTCACCCCAGAGATTTCAGTACTCTAGGCTATGCTATGTAATTACCTGTTATTGAGCAACTGAAAGCAGGTAATCTAAAAAACAAAAAAATCTCAGCACAATCAACAACGGTTTCTTAAGATGGATGGGCTTTTCTTCTAACTTTCACAAAAGTCAACTTTAAATTACATAATATACAAATGTATTCTTTAAAAAATCAGAATAGCAGTTTAAGCCCTCTATAAAATCCTCTGTCCCTCCTACCCCATCCAACCCAACACATTCATAGGAACCAGTGCTAGGATTGATGCTGAGGCGTATCTTTCCATAACCCCCTCCTTTACAAAGAACGTATATACATAAGCATTAGGCTGTTGGATCTCTAGTTTGACTTCCAATCATAAAAAGGTACCAAGTGACATAATGAGTCACTGTAGAATATTCTTTATAAAATATTTTATAGCAGCTCTACTAAAGGCCACCAGCCCTACTTTACATGACATAGTCCACAGCATGTGAGATGGAGCAGTTTTACCATCTGAACTGCAATGTGACAGATGAATAGATGGAAAAGCAGAATTTATATACAAAGGAGTACTACTTTGCCACAAAGATAAACTTGAGGCATCTGTAGGTAACGATGCAACTTGAGAATATAACATTAAGTCAGACACATAAGCTTAAGTAGCACATTTCTCTTATACAAAAGACTACATACAGATAAATCTATCTATCTATCTATCTACATATAAAGAGAGCAAAATAGAGGATAGATAAGTAGGAAGTAGGGAAAATCTTTTCAAATGGATGGGGGAACAAGAGGTGGAGGGTGGAGGGAAGGGAGATGAAAATAAGAATTAAAGGGGAAAAATAATGAAAACAGAGCTTTTGCAAATGGGAAAGAGTTGGAGGGAGTGGGGAGGGAGCAGAGGGAGGGCAATAAAAAAAGAATTAAGACGTGTTATGTACATGTACCAACTCCCCACAATAAATGTAATCATTATGCACAGCACACATGTACTAAGAAAAAATAAGCTGGAAATTGACAAATGTGCAAGGAATATTGCTTTTATTCCTTTCCAGTTGGTCCTCACTTAACTGACTTAGTAAATTAAAGCTCATCAAAACAAGATATGAAGGAATTGGTGAATGAGAAAACCCGGATACTCAGACTTGAACCTGCTCTGGACAGTTAAGTGTTCTGGTTGTTGCTTTGCGTGTGTATGTCTGCTGAGGGGTAGGGCGAAGTGGGCCAAAAGGAAGATATTTTCTCTCACACTGTTTCAAGTTGTTGCTGAAATGGGAAATGTGTTAGAACTGTGAGAAGCTTATGCTTTTTAAAAACCACCAGCGACATTTATGTTTTGCAGTGACACAAGTTCCTGCTGCATTTACCACTTAAACTTCAGAACACTTCTGTGAACCGGATCACCCAGCTTCTTGAAAGGGACCCGAAACCCTTGCTTCCACTTTTTTGTTTGAAAGCTGGTGCCGTGGCGCTTAGAAAGCATTTAACCATGTAAAAGAAAAAAGGCAATGTTTTCAGGGAAGCACACAAAGCCTTTTTTACTCACAAAATGCAACTAGTTCTTAAGAAAGAACTCATCGTATGAAATACGGTTTTTACCAGTTCTGAATTCCAATCAGAGATACCAGGAACAGACCCCTTCCAGCCTGCTGCACCCGCAAGCCCTTCCTACAGTCCCCTCACCCTCGCCCGAATGAACACACAACGCAACACAGGAACCACCTCGGTGAGAACCTAAGGCAGCAGCTCCTTTTTGGCATGGATGCTGGGGCCTGGTTTCCAGGGAGGAGATGAGATCTCTAGAGGCTGCAGTGGAGCTGACGAGACAGAGCATGGTTCACCCATGGAGGTGGCCAGCAACACAGCTCCAGGCCTAGAGCACAGCCCACAAGGCCGCTGGCCTCGGGGGAAGTTCATACGAGGGATATGAGAAACATGAAGTCACGTGGCAGGTTTAAAAGGTCTTTATTTCTTGGGACAAAGTGGGAGGAATATACATAGAACCTACTTCCTGCCCTTGAGCCTTTTCTATTAGTTACTAAGGACAAACAACTACACAGTGAAGGGTCAGGGATTTAGCTCAGTGGTTCTGCCACCTGCCTCCCAAGTGCAAGGGCCCGAGTTCGATCCCTGGTACCAAAAAACAAAAACCAACTACACAGTGAAGTGGATGTGGAAAGTCAGTCTAATATTTAATAATTTTCTAGTTACTGTATCTAGAAGTTGAATATCAATAAGCTGAGTTTTCTTTTGGTGGATCCTAAACTTTCAATTGAACTGTTTTTGCACTGCATTAAGAGAGTAGAGTCCTCCCTTGAATATAGCATCCTATCCCTTGTTGGAGCACAACCAGGGCAGTCTGGCACAAGTGTGGCCTTTGGACAATCAAAAGCCTGGAAATTCCTCAGAAATAGAGTATTTCTTAAATGTATGCTCTTCTCCACCTACAGGTGTTAAACCATAGGAAGAGTTTCTTAAATGGAACTTGCATCTATAGGAGCAGAAACATTACTTCTAGGCATTATGTTCTCAGAATCAGTGAAACTCAAAATGACCACTGGTCAGCCACAGAGGGACTGTCTTCAGTTGCTGAGCCCAAAAGACCAGATACTCATTTGCATTCATCCATTGAAGGTGACTTTATTATGAAAAACAAGACTTGGATATATTTATGGGAGCAGTTTTACAATCTAACTTCCAGTTATGTTAGTGATCTGAACGGGACCCACTGACAAGGATGGAAAGTTCAGGTCATATTCTTCTACTACATGGACCTAAATCAAGACTCAGCCAGTATCTCTTCCCCCTAATTAACCCTCTTTCCCTATATATTAATTTCTCTTGCAAACAAACCCACAGACTCTTGAAAGCAGGCTATTGAGGATGTCAGGAAAGCTTGCTCTACACTCTTACAATTTTAACTATATTGTACAAATCCTGATTTTAGGGGAATCTTTCTAAGAATGAATTCATAAGGAATGTGGTATAATTTAATTGTCCCAGGACTGTTAGAGAAAAGAAAAATAACTGTGGTGTGAAACATATTTTGCATATATTAATTCGATGAAATTAATGCCATTTTAGCATATAATTAGTTCTTTATTATTAAAGCTAGACAACTTGGCAAGTTCCATAATTCTGTGGAAAACTTGAATACATCATTGGGCTATGAAGTTCAGTAAAAAGCTTTCACATGCCTACAGGGATGGGGTGTTTCATAAATGCCAAGTTTTGCTATTAGTAATTTAAACAAGTTTTAAATATAACATGGCATTCAACTTAATCTGCTTACTACTGTTCATTAACTTCTAATCATGATTTCAATATTGGTAGGATGAAGGTAAATATGGAAAACAAAAACTCCCAGTCTGGTTTAAAAAAGAATATTCAAGCAATTTGAATCAATCTCACCAACAGTCTGGAGAAGAGGTCTTTTGGGTAAGTAGTGCATGTAAAGAAATAATCACAGATGCCATTAAAATACAAGTTGGTAAACAGGCATTATCTATTTAATAATATATACACAGAATCCTCTTGAAAAGCTTCATTTTATACAGAATCATATTTACAAAATGAACAGTGTAATCAAATTAAAAGATTATTTATACAATGCACACATATGTACTCTGGAAGATAAACCAGTTTTGTCATCACAGTCAAGATGGACAGCCATATGGATTTTAAAAAAGAATTTCATTCCAGAAGAATAATACATTTTTAATACGCAATTTTATTTTTCATTTATTTTCCTAAAAATCCATGTTTGGATACTTTTTCAATTATTTCTCTTGTTCAGCCTTGTAAATGTTCAGGTTTCTAGTGCCACCAACTGATGTTAGTTAAAAATTAATAATCTTAGTGTCAAAAAAGAATTCTTTTGTTAAAAAAGAAAAGTTACTGAAAAATAGGCTACTGGAGTCAACATTCATAAGGCATGAATGACAACATGATTTATAAAAATATTTCCAGCAGGGTAGCATACGTTACATTTACAACATTAATAATTTGTCATTTTCTTCCTTCCAATGGTAAAACTTGGTCTAAATGTATATGTAAAAATATTTAGAAAAAAATTAATATACTGCAAAACAAAGTTTGGAAACATACATGACAACACAAATTTCTTTGTGAGAATCAATAATTTACTAAAATGGTAAAAATCTTTTTATGATCTTTGGATGTTTTTAAGAATAAACAAACTATGACAAAAGTTAGGAAATGCGCAGAACCACTATGAAAACAGCAACTTTCTCCCAGTATGCCTCAGCCAGGATTCAGTTTCTGAAGCTTCATGGCAGAGTGAGATTTCCAGGCTGTTACCTGCCCAGGGAGATTAATGCTCTTCTCAGCCCAGTCTAAAGGGGGTTGGCAGGAGCTACGAAGCCCAAAGTCCTGCTCATTGGGCCTCCTAACTACCGTCCCTAGACTATAAGCTTCACGAGGACGAGAGGTGCTCTGTGCAGTCTGCTCATCAACGCAATCCCAGTACCCTGTCTGGTGCCTGACAGTGGAGGTTTTCAAAGTGTTTATTAAGTGAATAAATAACATGATCACAACCTGAAATCACTTTAAATGGTTACAAAGGTACAATATGAAAACAAAAATACTATCCAAGTTCAAATTCATTCTCCTGCCTAATCCCACCATTTTAAATCCTTAAAACTGTTTTAACAGACTAAAGTTTGAAGCGGTATGGGGAAAAGGGAGTCACAGCAACTATCACTTTCAAATTAAAACCTATGAAGTGTATACATATACATATACACACAACATTTCCTGCTCAAAGACACTGAAATATTACTAACTAGCCAAAATGGCCTTTAATGTATGCAATTAATAATGAACATATTGAACAAATTTCTCCACAGGTCTCAAGTTTATCCCTGTCATCCCATTTTCTCTCCATATATTCAATATAGTAACACTGAAGGCCCTCTAAATCCTTACATCAGGAGCTTTTGTACATCATTTTGCTCAGTCCTGACCCATATACAAAAGGATGCAGTAGATACTGAAGAGCAAAAAGAAAGCATTTCCTTCAAAACTTTTCTATAGTTTCTTAAATTTATGAAGAAAAAAATGTAATAGTCAAAATATGGCTTTTAATAACTTCTAAAACTGTTTTATCATTAAACTTCTCCAAATAGTTCATGGCAAATATATTAATACTGGAGTGTTCTTTTGTCTGTAATAAATGTATATATTTTTAGAAGTGCACAGGCAAAGGACATGATGGATCTGATCACTGTTTGGTCTCTATTATATATATTTTGTGCCTTGGAGAAAAAAATTGTAATGTATAAATCTGTATCACATGAGAAACTAAAAAGGTTTAGTATGTTTCCTACTCTAGTAGACTTCTGGAGTTTCAACAGTATGTCTAGAAACAAATGGGAAAATGATTCAGATTTTATTGCACTTCTCTTATTTATTTTGATAAATTATTAATAAAGCAAGACACATTAAAAAAGACTAATAGTTTTTACATCTATTTTAAAAATAAAACATCTTTGAATGTGTATTTTCACTCTGAAGTAAAAAGGTTTGTTTTGGGATGACAACATGTAACTCAGTACACAGAAAAAGACACTACACAGACTTATCCAATCTTTAGTAAATTATCTTTTTAAACAATGTTACGCTGATTTTTTAAAAAATGTTAAAACACATTATAAGGACATTTCCATCATGAGCCCAACTTAAGAGCCTATACAATTCCTTAAGGCTTCATCCAAAGCTCACGTCTCTTAATTGTGTGTGTGTGTGTGTGTGTGTGTGTGTGTGTGTGTGTGTCGGTGGTGGTGGGGATCTAAAACGGAAATGAGGCTTGCTGCAACATCTGCATATGAGCCAAGGTACCCTAATATACAAATGATCTGAATACAATGCAATGTGAAAGAAATTATGATAGGTGAGAAAAATTCAATAGCAAATATTGATACTATGGCAAGATTTAAGTGTACATCTTAAATACTGTAAAAAATCAAAGAACATGCAAAAATTTAGCTCTAAAATTCCCATGATTCTAGACATATATTAAAATAAATACACTAAAACAGCACATTTGGGGGAACTTCATGGTCACTTCACTGTAATATGTAATTAACTGTCAGTAGTGAAGAATGATGCTCAAATGAAATGATTAATATGCTGGTTTCTCTTGGGAAACTGGTTCTTCATAAATATCTTAAGCACTATTATTTTTATCTTCATAAGTGTCAGTAGAGCTAAAGTATTTCCATTTCAAAGTAGTATTCATCTCCCTGTTCTAATGATTGGATCTACTTCACATTTTAAAAACAGAACTGAAGTCCATAGCAATTTTCTGAGTATGTTATTGAAAATAGCGCTTTAAGAAACTAAAGATTTTTAGAATTCAATGATTAACTCAAACTATCCAAATCTGAAAACATGTACCAGAGAAGGAAAACTGACAAAAGACATATAATATGTAATCATTGCTAGTTACCAACAGCTGCCTTTCCTATTAAGTTCAGTTTTCATTAAAATTAAAACTGAAAGATTTAAGTACTTGAATGTATCCCTCAAGCACAGCTATACGTTACACTGGAGTGTTAAAACATAAAAAAGGTGGAGTTTTAAAATTTTTTGTTTGTTTTGAGATAAGGTTTTGCTGTGTTACCCAGTCTGGCTCTGAACTCCAGGGCTCAAATGATCATCATCCCTCAGCCTCTTGTGTAACTGAGACTCCAGGCATGTGCCCCATGGCCAGGTCAAAATATACAAATTCTTAATGTTTCTGTGGTTTTCTTGATGTTACAGAAACAGTGAATTACTGAATGACTAATATGTCTTTTCATGCATATCTTTAAGAAGATGAATCATTTCTGACATTATATATTTTAAACAGAAGAAATATGGAGAAGGGATTTTTCAAAGTCCTTATAGCAATGTTCAGCACTTCATGTGACTATGAGCACATTAAGTTGTTTAGATTCAATGACAGGCTGTTGTACTGCAACCATATAAAAACATTTCATCAAAGCCTACACTCTTACAGTATACACAGCAATGCATCCATTTGTAAAAGGAAACTCCTTTATACAGATGAAGCAAAACAAGTATTTGACTAGATGACACATAAAGCAGGGACGTTTCCAACAACACTGGTTAGTGGCACCTGCTCCAAGTGGCTCTTGCCTCACTGTATTAGGTCTTTTTTGTCCTTTGTTCTAGTTCATGCTGGTGTTTAATAAGGCGTTCTATTTCTGTTCCAAGTGTTTGTAGATTTTCCTTTAATAATTAGGGAAAAAAGAGAAAAGAGAACTAAGTGCAATAAAAAGATTCAGTTGTAACTATTTCTGAATTCTGAAACTGAAAGAGTGATGATTTGTTGTAAATGCTGAGATAAACTAGACAGATGTTTTTGGTAAAGTAGGCCTGTTCATCTCAAAGTCATATTTAATCTTTTTACTGCAACTATGAAAACTTTTTGTGCATACAATAAATACCTGGTAGATTTAAAAATTATTTTTAAAATCCATTACTATCAAGGTCCATACACAGCAAAAAATAGTTGGATCAGATAACAGCTGCAAAAAATAAAAGCAACAAAATATACTGAAATGCTACAATCTTGGAAAATTATGTTTCAGCAATTAACTATAATTAATTATAATGTACGCTAAAGGCCACCCATCCAAAGTAAACAATTTATCTTGGTATCCATATAATAACTAAACTGATTTAATTTTAAATATTGTACTTTTCAAAAGAGAAAAACATTAAGATTTTGTATCTGAGTAGGACAGCTGTCTTGCGTAACAGAATCAGCCTAAGTGCTAGATGAGACTACAAAAGAGGTCCCGTTTTACCATGTTTATCTACTGGTAAGTGAATGAAAAATACAAATACCTTCAATGTAATATTTTTTAGTAACGTATCCTCCAAAACAGCCTGTAATTTTCGGTTGATTTCCAAAGACAGCTCCAGTGTTAATCCACTATCAGCAGGATGGGATGTATATAAAGATGCCATAATGCCACCTCGCCTACTTAAATGAACTTTGTTAAAATCGGATGCCTCTGAAGAAAGAGTGCCTGATTCTTCTCGTAAAATGTAACTCTGAATTATTCTGCAAAACAAATTGACACTTATCAATTGTGTATCTGTAGAATTAAAAATACTGGAATTTGCAAGAATCATATCCATAAAATACCTATCAGGCTAATAAGCTAGCTATATTAGAAAATAATTTTTCTTATACAAATGTTGCTTAAACTATCCCACTTGTCCTATCACAGTATTTAGATGAAAGATACATAAACACTGCTTTTCTATTTCTTTCTCTTTGTATTTCTCTTGATTTCTGTTAATACTTCCTATTTTCCTATTATTAATCACATCTACCTATCTCCCTCCCTCCCTCCCTACTTACCATCTATCTCTGTTTTTTGAGGCGAGGTCTCACTATAAGTCTAGGCTGGCCTTGAACTCACTGTCTAGCTCAGGCTGGGCTTGAACCTGAGATCCTCCTGCCTCAGCCTCCTGAGTGCTGGGATTATAGGCATGAGTCATCACACTCAGCTACTTACTTTTCTTTAAAAAGTCACAGACAAACGTTTCTGTAAGTTTAAACTTATTTTAAATAGAAATTAAAGAAGCTTAGGAAAAGACCTGTAATATAAAACTATCAATTCTGGGCCGGGGATTTAGCTCAGTGGTTTTGCCACCTGCTGCGCAAGTGCAAGGACCCGAGTTTGATCCCCGGTACCCAAAAAAACAAAAACAAAAACAAAAAAACTATAAATTCTTATTTAAATGAATATGGTATTTGTGAGAGGAATCTTGCCATAGTATACACTCGGAAGTCAGAGCTGGGTTTGGATCTCCAGCTCTAGGTGTCTCATGGGATAAATGGCAACCCTGGCTCACTTAGTGATGTGAACTAAGCCCCAGTGACCTAGAAGCAAAATCAGAGAATTCACTTTCTTTCTTTTTTTTTTTTTGGAATTCACTTTCTTACTGAGTGGTTGCAAGGAATCAATGAGATAATGTTATAAGCCACAGCACAGGGTCTTGTACTGGTGCCCAATTAACTACCCTATTTTGTCCTGCCCAAGAAGAAAAGTCACAATCCCATATATCTTTCAGACTCAGAGTTATACAAATAAAAAACTAAGTAAAGCACTATCATTTTAAAATCCAAAATTATTTTATTGTGTAAAAGAAATTAACGTGTACTGAACTCTGTATCACAATAAAGGAGAGACCTGTGTTTTCTTTCATCTCTGTATTCTCAAAACTTAGAATATAATAAGTGATCATATAAGGTTGGAAGCTGAATGACTATAAAAATGATGATACCAGGCAAGGTACCACATGTTGATAGTCCCGGCTAATTGGGAGGCTAAGGCAGGAGGAGGTTGAGGCCAACCTGGCCAGCGTGACAAGATCCCACGTACAAAAAAAAAAAAAAAAATTATGATACCAGGCAAGGTACCACATGTTGATAGTCCCGGCTAATTGGGAGGCTAAGGCAGGAGGAGGTTGAGGCCAACCTGGCCAGCGTGACAAGATCCCACGTACAAAAAAAAAAAAAAAAATTACTGTTTGAAAGGTAGGATCTTGGTGTGATTAATTTTGAAAATATTAACCTTACAATGTGAAAAATAGTATTTTGAACACAGATTACACTACCATAATAATACATACTTTGTTTTCTTCCTAATTTCTTCCACCAACTGTTTGATGTGGTCCTCCATAAATTCTATCTTTTCATTTTTCCGGGCATGTGCTTTCTGCAACCTAACTATCCTCTCAATCAACATGGCCTTGTCCACTTCTGGAAAGCTATCCACAGCCACCGATGAACCAGTATTTTCTGGAGATCGATCTTCTGCACTGCTTCGAGCATTAAGGGAACCTGAACAAAGAAAGAAAGACAGAGGGAGGGGAAGAGGGGAGAAACCCGTTTAGATGTTATATGTAATCTAGAGTCATCTCTCGTCCTATACCTGAGAGACATAACAGAGAGACCCTTTTGTACTTTATCATCAGTACGTTCAGAAACAAGAACTCGGACCATTACTGACCCATGGTGTGTTCTATGTCCAGCTCAGTTACAGTGAGCATTTGAAAATGATACTGGAATAAATAATGTATGAGATGAGATGTGGCAATAGAGAAACAAGTCAGAATAACAAATGTAAAGTGAGATCAAATTTAAAGGACAAGTCATACTATGGTACCAATTCTTCCGGAACTCATGATCTGTGCCAAAACTGATGAGTGCCAAAAGAATTCTTCCCATAAGAGATACTGTAATTAGAAATAACTCGTGACGAACTTCCACATTTTACTGGGCTGAAGTTAGCCTTTTACTAATGTAAGTCTTTTAGCTTTAATGGTGTCACAACCTCTTTACAGCCCATAGCTAGCACTTAAAGTATAAGAAACTACTCAGTGGAATATGTGGGGATTCTGCACTGTTCGAGAGCTACTCTGAGGCTGAAGCAAGTGCCAACATTTTTTCTTATCAAAATGGGACAAGTCCTGGGTTCAGCATGTTTTGAAGCTGATGAGTACCAAGGTATGCCTGTATTATGAAGACAGAAAAAATTATGGAAAGAAGGAAGGAATAAATGTAAAAGAGGAAAAAAAGGAGGATAAAAAATAGTGGGTCAAGTTCTGGAGCTAGCCTGCATAGGTTCAAATCTTACTACTCTACTTACTAAGGTGTGTGACTTTGGACATTTACCTCTCAATGTCTTGGTCATTTCATCTTGAAATGGGAATAGTAATATTAATTTCATATGACTGTTATACTCACTTGGATAAGTTAATGCATTAAAGCACTTAGACTTGTGCATACAGTAGGCCTTATGTGAGTGTCAAGTCTTTTCTACCAACATCAGGGAGATTCTCTTTTCCCAACAAAGCTTTGCTTAAAAACTTCATTATAACAGCTTCTTGGCCTTTTGGCTAAGATCAAGTGTACTAAACCCTCATTTTATAGAGACAAATAATACACCTTAGTCAATATCATACAATTAATAAATGACCGACTGGGATCAGGCATAGCAGTTATTTCAATCTGTGCTTTGTGTCACATTTTTTCCACTACTGTAATAGTTGGTTTTGCCTCCTAATGTACAACTCCTAGGAGACAGTATCGTGTAGTGACTTAATAGCATGTGTCTACTCAGTTGGTCCCTCCATAACCATGAGTATCCCACATATGGATTCAACCAACCATAGGTCAGGAAAAAACAAAACAAAAAAACTGTGCCTATACTTAACACCCACAGGCTTTTTCCTTATTCCTTAAACAATACAGTGTAACAATTATTATACAGCATTTACATTGCAACAGATATTATAAATAACCTAGAGATGATTTAAAGTATATGGAAGGATGTGTATAGGCTATGTGCAAATACTACAACATTTTACATCAAAGATTTGAGCATATGAGTATTCTGGTATCCACAGGAGGCAGGGTGCTAGAACCAATCCCCTGAAGATACTGAGGATGACTATATATAAAAAAATCGGCTACTATATAATGACGACCATTTCATTACTCCTTAGGTGTTAAAATATAAAAGAAAAAGAGGGTCCATACTGCACCAAAACTCTCTGGATGGATACAAATCTGAATTTTTAGATATTAAAAGAAGTTGATGCATAGAATAAGAGAGAGAAAATAAAAAAGGAGGTGGTGAAATATGTAGAAGACCATGACAAACTAGAAATCCTGGATAATCATTAGAACTTAAACATTTTAATCAGAAACATTTTTTATAATTACATACAACTCTTTTTATACTTCAAAATGAAGCAAAGTATATCAATACTTTTTAAAACCAACAGTGCAACTTATTTTTATAATCACTAAATAACAACTAAAGCCATTAGTTTTTACCTGATGAACTAGAACGACTTCCCATGCTGCTAACTTCTTTATCATAGCTTCCATTCTCAACCTGATCTAATTTTCTTCGTGCTATAGGAAAAAGAAATGGATTACTTACAACAATTACCATGACCATTTGCCCTATCATCTCTGAGTTTTAGTTGCTAAAATGATGTGGGCAAAATCGCATAGAAAACAAGAGAAAGTTCCTGAACACATACCTGAGATAGAAGGCTATAGGTATAAAGTAACCTTTAGAAATGTATAGGTCAAATACAAAACACAGACATTACATCATGATAACTGACCCTAACATCACTAAGTTACACTGATCTTAAATTTTAGAATTCTGAAAGATTTAGAAGATCCTCCTAGTACCAGAAATTTCCCTTCAACTATACTCACATATAAAACAACCTGAATTCTTACAGCAAATAGCTGAATATATTCATATTCAATAATGCTAAGTATTTTACATCACTATATTTCACCATATTTTAACACAAAGCAGTAGAGAATAGTAGAGAATGGAAAGCTGGAATTTATGTCTTTTCCATCTTTGTATCTGAAGCACACAGCACAGATACTCATGAGTTTTGAATGAAAGAAACCTGGGTTCCAATCTTATTTGTTAACTGTTGTGCTCAGGTAACCTGCAACCTTTCTGGGTCTGTTTCCTGAGAACTAGGTGAAGGGTTAGGTCTCAATAATCTCCATGTTAGAGGTATGCAAAGCGGGGTCCAGGTACCCCAAACACTGCACAAATCACTTCCCAGGCATGTGTAGGGAGAAAATACTGGAATGGATATTTATACTTATGCTTAAAGACAAATCTTTTAAAATTAAATTTTTGTTTTCTTTTTGGAGAGGGAGAGGAGTAGTACTGGGAATCGAACCCAGGGCATCTGCACTGAGCTACAGATCCACCCTTTTCTCATTTTTTATTTTGAGACAGGTTCTCGCTAGGTCACCACGTTGCCTGACTGGCTCAAACTTGTTATCTTCCTGTCTCAGCCTCTAAAAGTCCTGGGATCACAGGTGTGTGCCACCATGTCTGACTCTAAATTTCTGTTTTTCTTATGTTTTCTCATATACATAAAATAGAATGACACATGTTTAAAGTTTATAAAGAAACACATAAATTGCATAAAAATGCCTCAGCACAGAAGACAGCAATTTATGGAATTGCAAGGTTAGCAATTTGGTCTATGAAAATTAATACATTAAAAGAACAGAAGGCGGTAATCAATTTGGTAGAATACAAAATAAAATGTATTTTTCTCAACAAAATTTGTTTGTTTGTTTGTTTGTTTGTTTTGGTACCGGGGACTGAACTTGGGTCCTTGTGCTTTCGAGCCAAGCGGCAGAACCACTGAGCTAAATCCCCGGCCCTCTCAACAAAATTTTTAATGATTAAAAGAAACAAACATACAAGGTCTAAGTAGAAGAATTTTATACCTTGCTGAAGTTGTTTGGTAAGATCCTTAATATTAGAGGCTTGCTTACGCCTTTGAGTTACTAGTTCATCTTTCAATTCTTCTACCTGGACACTCAATGCTTTAACTTCTGTTTGTCTACAAGTGAGTTCAGTTTGCAGAGTCTGGACTTCCTCTTTTCGTAGTTCTTCCTCTTTTAGCAATCTACTTTCCTGAATATTAAGTAAGATAAAAAACACCAACTTTAATGTTTGTCTTGATTATTGCTCCCAATTTAAAACTTTAAAAATAAAAAATCCTGAACAGCAGAGATTCATCTATTACTCTGCGTCAGGTTTTGTTTTACTGAGTTCCCCAAAATCATCATATAGCAAGGCAGGGGGTCACATTAATGGGTCCATTCTACATGTGCAAAACAACATGCAGTACAAGGCTTTGAACTTTTGGAGGGTTAATGATGAATTATTTTTATGAGTAACTTGAAGACACTCATAATTTGGAACTATGAAAATATTTAAAAATCCAGAAATTTAAATTAGTACTTTTTAAAAAATATAGTGATTCCAGTTAAGAACAACAGAAACTATGGTGTTCTTATTTTTAAAAGTGAAATATTCTTCTTTTTCATTTTAGGGAGAAATTTTAGTTAATTTTATCAGTTAAAAGGAAAAACTAACATTTTTAGAGCATTTAAAATTACCAGAAAGTGCCAACAGAAAGAAGCTTAAATTAACTATAACTACACTTCTGTGGTGCTGGGGAAATTTAATCTATGCTTCTTGCTCTGTTGTTTTAAGAGTTAAATGGACATATATACTCACCAAATTAATGTTTGTTTGTTTCATTTGCTCACATTGGCTTTGTAACTGACTTTCACTACAAGAAAGGTTATCAAGTTGAGACTGCAAAGAATTGGATTCAGACTGAAGCTGTGCATTCTTACTAGTGAGCTTTTCTGTGAACAGTAGTAGCTCAGATTCTCTTCTCCTACTCCCTTCGATGTCTTTTTGCAGGTCATTAATCAAAGAATTAAGACTTTCCACTTCTTCCTTCAAATTTTCAATTTCTTGTTTACCTCTAAAAAACAAAGTTTATAGCTAAGAAAAATTAAACTACTAAATGACATTAATGATTTTAGATTTTTCATTGAGTAAAATGTTTTCTAAAGGTACTTTTATTTATTTATCCAAGTATTTATGAATGTCTACCATATGGTTAGAACTAAGACCCAGGAATATAAGTAAGCAAGGCCAATAAACATGGCTCCTGCTTGCAAAGATTTTAATCAAGTAGGGAAATTATAAGTATGACAAAACATTTTTGATGAAAACAGTGTAGGTCACCTAAACTTGTATAAATGATGCTCAAATTAATGCTTCAAGGTAGATGGCATAAACTTTTCCTATAAAAAGCCAGAGAGTAAGTAAGTTAGATTTCTGGACCACACGGATTTTGTAACAAAAGTTCCACTTTGTTACTGCAGTATGAAAGCAGACATAGACAATAGAAGAACGAGTATGGCTATGTTCTAAAAAACTCATAAAAAGAAGTGGTGGGCTAGATTAGGCCCATGGGCCATAAGTTGGTGATCCATGACCTAAAGGAAAAGCAGGAGTTAGTGAGAGAACAAAATATGTTCTGGGTAGAAGGAACAGTATGTGCTAAAGCTAGGAAGAGAATAAGAGTAGAAAGTTTTGTTGGTATTAACAGACATTCGGTATTGATAATAAGGACTGTACTAGATACAAAGCACTTAATCCAAGGCTTGCCAAAATCCACAAACATCTGTTAACCAAAACAGAAGAGTTAAGAAGGGGAGGAATAAAAAAGCAAGAGACTGGTTAATCTTTAAAGCCACGCTAAGACATTCACTAGGTAATCTTTGAGGTAACAGGATATCACTCAAAGGTTTTGAGAAAATGTCATTTTTTAAAAAGATTATGCCAATGATAGTGTAGAAAATGGCTTAGAGATAGAGCAAGCAGAAAAGCCAGTGTAGGAACTGTGGCAGTTTTCCAGGTAAGAGCTGATAGTGGCTTGGACTATGGTAGTGGCAGTGGGGATGTAAAAAGTGAATGGATATAGACAGTATTAGAGTTGGTTTCACTAACACTCCGTGGCCGGTTAGCATGTGAGAGGAAGGAGGGAAGAACCAAAGATGACCCCCAGTTCCTGGGTTGGAGTATAACATATGGATGTTACACTGACCATAGGAACACAAGAGGAAAAGTGTATTTGTAGGCAGGAGAAAGGAATCAGTTTTGAACATTCTAAAGTTTGAAGTGTTTTGGTTATTTCTGTGCTTAAAAGCTAAGCTAAAAGGATGAAGACAATAACTCAAAAGACCTATAGCATATTAGGAAAATAACTGGCATCACTCAGGAATATGATAAAATTCAAATAAAAAAAGGCTGACAGAGAAGTACATCAATGAGAAAGAGTGGCCAGAAAAGTGGAGAGGACACCAGGAAAGCCTGATGAAAACAAAGCCAAAGGAACAGAACAAATCAAGAGAGATAAGTTCAGTGGTGTTTAAAAAAAACACTGAAAATTCATCTGGGCATGGTGGTGCACACCTGTGATCCAAGAGCTAGGGAGGCTGAGGCAAGGAGATCGCTGCAAGTCTAAAGCCTGGACTACACGGTAAGTTCAAGGCCAGCCTGAACTACATAGCGAGCGCCTATCTCAAAAAACCAAAGACCTAAAGTTTCTAGTATGATAATGACAGCTTAACTGTTATGCTCAGATGCTATGTTTGCTCTTGATTTTAAATTTTCCTAGTAAGACATTGCAACTGTTGTCTGTTAACATGCTACAAGAATTTGACATCTAAGACAACTACGAGTGGTTAAAAAACTAGCAGTTTTCTGGCTATACTTTATATTTCAAAGTAGGCAATATCCAGATGAGATTATAATATCTAAACTTATCACTCCCACTTTAATACTGGTGTAATTGACCTTCTGGGTATTCAACATCTAAGGCTTGGAGACCAAAGTTAGAAAGGCAACTGGGCTAAGAAGATAGCCAATATTTTAGCCCTGGCCCTCCAAGATCAACAAGGACCCAGAAAAGGAGGGAACCTCTCTACAGGATCCTACAACTCTTGTAAATCATCCAACCTCTAGAGCAGGGAGACTGATGGACCCCAGATGACAGGAGTCAACTAGTGTGCATTGAGCTAAGAGGAGGGTTACTAAAGAGGGAAATGTTCCCATGTGTCCAAGGGAAGTCGCGTGGTCTAGCAAAAACAGTGACTCATCCTGGCAGATGACACAACTGACAGAGGAAAAACTAAAAGAACTAAGAGGCTCTGGCCATGGCCTCAAAAATAATGCCTGAGAAACCTGAACTGACATTGATATATACAGAGAGAGTAAGGTTAATTCTTATTAGCACAGGTCTCACTTTGACTTGGTCTTTAATACTAGAGAGAGAGAGAGAGAGATCGAGAGATCAATTTTGATTAACACAAGTCTCACTTTGACTTGGTCCTAAATACCCAAAAGGAAAGTATAACCAAAATTATAAAGAGTAATTATAATATTAAATCAAAAGCTTGACTAAATATAAAAAGGGGACATTTCAGCCAACTAGTATTTCTTTGTTGGGAACAAAAAGCCATACTTTTGGTACATGGAGCAATGCCATTCAAAATATGGAGTGGATGCCAACCCTAGACTGTAATCACACTACCTGGCTAAAAGATGCTGACTTGTTTGCTCCTGAGCAACAGGCAAGGGCTGGGGTAAGACGGCCAGCACCAAATGGTGCCTGGTGGTCCTGCAGGACAAACCTACAGCCTTGGTTGCCTCCATGGTGGATAGGAAGTCAGACATTAGGGTAACCATGGGTTCAAGGGAACCAGGTTAAAGCCACAGATCAACCAGCTAACACCCAGTCCTGAGGCACTGACAGACCAGATCAGTTTTCCACTAGTATGACTATCTGGGCACTATTTTTATAGTGGCCCTGGAATAGGACTTGAGAATGTAATAGGGCACACTGAATCTCTTACCAACTATACACAAAGGGGATATTTCATTATTAAATCCAGAAGTAAAAATGATGAAAAAAAGGCCATTCTACAAAACCAAATGGCCCTAGATAGTCTAGCAGCAGCACAAGGTGGAATGTGTGGCATTATCAAAACAGTATGTTGTGTGTACATTCCTGACAACTCTGCAAATGTGTCTTCTCCAATACATGATCAACATTCACAAATCAGTGCAACGTCAGACTCTGCCAGAAGCTTTAATGACCGGCTGCCATGCTGGTTCCCTGGAGCAACCTGGTGGGAGAAAGTTCTCATTTTTCTGGCTATGATACTGTGCACTAGAATTCTTTTTGGTTTCATGATTCATTATTTTTGTGAGCTAATGTCTCATATGTCATTGCCCCCTTTGTGAGGCTACCAAAAAATGATGGTTTTTCAAAGGAGAAAACCGATTATTATATGTCTCTAGATTAGTCAGGGCTAGGCAGGGCCAACACCCTTCCTCAGCCTGAAGCAGTTACATGAAGACCGACTCTCAGGCCTTCTGCACCCCCTTAAAAATATACAGAACCCAGGTCTTAGAGGGGGAAAATGAGGTAGGATAGAAGAAATAAAACTAGATAGAAAGGTGACAAGGAAATTGATTTTAAAATTTATACTTTAAAAAACAAACTGCAGCTTCAGGACACAGGCCCATTATTTTTTCTTTCCTTTTCTTCTCCCAAAACATAGCAAACCTGGGTAAACCCCATTCCCCTAAAAAGGGGTTTGCCCATTCCCTTTTTATTTGCAAATGGTCCTCTTTCAACCATGAATGGACCACCTTTTTGGGGCTTCCTGTATTATCTCACTATAAGTAGGCCACCCTCTCCTACTCACTGGACAAGACTAAGACTTGATTATCAAATTCCACAGATTCGCACCTCTCAGAACATATAAAGACCACCAGTTCTCAACTGTATCGTGCCTCATTTCTCTGAGCACCAGAACTCCACTCTTGGAGGGCATCCTATAGCTACTGCTAATAAATCCTTCTCATTTCTCTTTTTAAAAATTAGTGAAAATTCAAGGAAGGCTGGGTCTGAGCCATGTCTGCTATATAAAAAAGTATCTGTTTTCAACGGATAATGTTTAGGTAGAAGCTAGAATGAAATGGAGAAAAACAGAACACGGGAAGTGAAGAAATGAATGAGTATAGATGATACTATAAAGAAGTCCAATTATGAAGGAAAGGAGAAAAATAACTGGTAATAAACATATAATCACATTTAAACGTAGAAAGAAAAGAAAAATCAGTGGAGAGATGTAAGAAAAAAAGTAAAGAAGAAAGAATCAAGAAGGACCCAGAGAAAGCAGAAGACCAAGGGATTCACAGAAGTAGAATAATTCACTTCAGAGAGGAGAAGGAACATTTCTTTCATGAACCGCTGCAGGTGTCAGCAATTCAAAAGACTGAAAACAAGAAGTTGAGAGAACTGTCACGTGTCAGAGCCTATGCTTTCTGTAAAGAATTAATCAACTGTTAGGACCAAATATACAGGTAAAGGGAAACCTCAATTTGTGGAGGAAAGCAGTAAGGCTTTGAAGGAATAGCTCAGAAGATGGGGTAGAAGGCTCAGACCAAAGACACATGGTAAGATTAGATATGCATTAATATATTCCTGGCTGAATATGGTGACCACAAATTTATACAATCTGGATAATGCTGAGGATATTGTAGCACTACTCAGCAGCTTGGATATAAGTAAGGTGCAGAAAAGAAGACATTTGAATTCAACTTGAATCTAGGCTCTGCCAGGCAATAGCTTGAGTAGAGTTTGTTCAATGGTTTTATGAGAAGCCAAAGAATAACATCAGCTCCTAACATGGCAAGCTATAAACATGCAAAGATCTAGATCTAGATACAGCTCTAGATTTACCATGTAGAAGAAAAAGTAAGCACTGAGTGAAATTTGAAAGCTAAAGTGTGGATTTTAAAAATTAAATTAATCTGTCTTATAAATCACTACTCCAATGATTAGGGAACATAAACTTTGATTTTTAGAAGCCATGAAGGAGGGTAGAGATTATCCAAAAAAGTTCCGGTGAAGATATAAATTTTAAAACTTTTAGCTATAAAGCTCTAAACATTGTTCTTAATGCAATAATTATATTTTAAAAATAGAATCTTGAGATAGAATTAAAAAACTGTTTGCTAATACAAACGGGTTGCTCATTTTATACCTTTGAAGCTGCTCCTGTATTTGATCTGTGATTTTCACTTTGTCCAATAAATTCTGAATTTCGGCTTTTTGGCGATTAATTATTTCCTTATATTTCGATAATTCATCTTCTGTCCTTAATCGTTCATCTTCTAGACATTTTGCCTTTCAAATGATCATAATCAAGTTAAACTATGAATAATATCTTCTTGTTTCTTATAAACTATTTTAAATAGTGCCTACATATTGATAATCTAGGCTTAATTCTAAAGCAGTATTATTTCATGTGTAGAAAATATAATGGGCAAGTTATCAGTCCTAGATTTCAGTTTCAGGTTTCTTATTATTCAGGCATGGGAGTTTAGCACTTTACAGTGGACCCTCAAGTTACAACCAGCCTGACAATGAACAACTTGGGTTATGATTGGAATTTTAGTTTTAACTTACGACCAAATTATTTATTAACCAAATGGTGACCACTTGTGCTTCCAGATGGTCTCAGATACAGATTTAACCCTTAAAGAGTTCTGGGAAGGAACATCCTTTCCTGTGTGGGGTTAACTGAAAAATCCTGGGCCAATGTCTCTCTAAGGCACTGAGATCTGCCTGTATACAGGAGAGAGACTTTTAGGGTGTGTAGAGGAGCCTGAGCCTTCAATTGACCAATTTGAGTTACAACAGCCCTCATAAATGAATTGAATTTGTAAGTCAAAGATACACCTTATTTTTACAGAATTTCCATTTTCTCATCTAGAAAAAGGATATCTCTTCCCTACATACCTCAAATATCTGACACAGAGAACAGAGGAAGATATATAAAAAAACACTGAAAATTACTAGGTGATCTCAATTTCAAAGTGGTTACTTGAAAGCCTGTTGCAAATAAATAAATGATATATAGTAATAATATATCATACTCATATTCATATTAGAAGGGACATTACTCTGACAATAAAGACTATAAACACTGGATATTTAACTATTAAAAATTAAAACTGCATCCATCTAGGATTATTAAGTACATGCAGGAGAAACAGAAAGTCTTCCTATTATTTTCTGATAGCTATAGTTCTAAGGTCCAACTACCTTTCCAATTGATTTGCTGAAAAGACTGTCTTTAGATCAAAGGCCCAAAGATAAGTTACAGATGCAACAAATGTGCTATGAAATAGTAATGTTTGGCGAATGCTTCAAAGGGACTAACAAGGAAGGCACTTTCATCTCAACAAAAGTCAATTATGTTACTAGGGAATCACTACTGTAGAATCACTATTGTAGATCCTCTGAGTTCTTTTAAATTCCTAGATAAATATCCTTTCCCTACCACTTTAAAAATCAGAATAAATTCAAAATTACAATTAAAAGTTTTGATTACCTTTGTTCTCAGTGTCCGTAGCTCATCCATACCTTCTTTAAATGTCCTCTTAAGATCTTCTAGTTCCTTTATTTTCGCATGATGCATCTTTAAAAGAAACCACAAATCATAATGCACTAAACTATCTTTAAAATGCTCCTTCCAAAGTACCTTAAAAGCAAATGCCAATACCCACTCAATCTATCTTTCTGTATTTTATACATAACCTAGAGTACATAAGAGCAAAAGTACTCACCTCTAGCTGGTCAGATTTTTCTTGCATTTGTTTTTCAAGTTCTCCTTTTGTGACTCTAAGCTTTGCATCAAGTTCATTTGATTTAATTTCTTCTGATTCCTAATGAAAAGAAAATTTTTAAAAATATGACAATTTTTGGGCCAGGGATTTAGCTCAGTGGTTCCACCACCTGCCTCGCAAGCGCAAGGTCCCCGATACCAAAAAAAAAGATAATTTTTATACTATGAAAAGTGCAAAAGCTTTGCAATTAAGTACTGTGAAATACATATAGCTTACATATTTAAAACTGAAGAATGCTTTGAAAAATTTATCAATTTTGCATAAACAAAATAGCATACTTATGATATATAACAGTAATTTTTTTTTGAAGTTACACATTTCCTTGCACTCATTCTTCTGATATTTTCTAGAAATTTTATTTGAGCCATAGATACTTTAACAAAGGAGATAACTTCCATTTTATTTAACTGTTTTATCAAATCTACTACATACTTAAAATATTGCAGATACAGACACTGAATGAAACCAGAGTACTGATAGTATAATTTCCCACCAGTCTATCTGAAAATCCAAGCATACCTGATATGTTTTTATCATATCCTGACAGTTTTGTCGAATCTGATCTGCTTCTTCCTTTGCTTGTGTTAACTTTGTTGTTGTTTCTTTAAGTTTATCTTTGGTTTCCTGCAGTGACAAAAAGAACCAAAGTTGGCCACAGTGAATGACAAATGGTGTGGTGACCACAGAGTAGGAAAAATTCTTGACCGGGCACTGCACTGAGGGGTTGAATACTACTCTAGCAATAGTATTTTGTATTTCTGAGAAGTTAAAATGGTCTGTAGTTAACTGATAGCCATTAAATAAAGTTAAACTTGACAGTTTTCAGCAAATTAAAAAAGTACTCACCTAATAAAAAAGAAGAGCAAAGTGTTAAACAGTTTTTTGTATAATCATAAAAGATAGTATTTGGCTCACAGCTGTGGTATTTATTCAAAACTGATTTTTTATTGATTGATGCTACAATATGGTTTCTATTTCCAACCAGTCTCCTAAAATAGCAATTTTTAAGGTTTTCAGGGATTACTATCATCAAATCCCATTACATTTTTCTCTTTATTCTTACCTGCTCCAGTTCTGACCACCTGGGACTCTACATATTTTCCCTCTAATTCCAGCAAGACAATATTCTCCTTTCTTCCTTTACTGGGTTCCTACTCTCTGAGGATTTTCAAAGATATAACCCTTACTCTCAAGCTCTTTTCCTGCAGACAGCCCATCCGGTGTCATGGATTTGGCTATCATACAGATTTCAAATGAGTTCAGATATTATCCCTAGTAGCTTCCCTTCAGAAAGTGGTGGATGCTGCCACTCTGCCTTTCCATAGATAAAATCCAAGGAAGCCCTGGATTCTAACAAACCGATATACTCTACGATAGCTTATATGCTTCCCTAGCTGAGTATGTATCTTTTGGACAGCAACTAGCTCCATGATTAATTTGGTGAATTAATGGAGAAATACCTAATATAAACCTTCTGCTCTGCTTAGTCACTCCAATCACTGAATAATCATTTCCCTTTATTCTTGCTTTTTAACTTGGAATGCCTTTCCTTCCATTTCTTGAACCATTTAAATTGCAACTATGACTCACATGTTGCTTATATGTCATTTAAAAAATAAATCGATTATGGTTTATATCGAGATGCCTCTCAGGAGACTCATGTGCTCATAGGTGTGGCTTATGGAAGGTGATGGATCCTGAGGATGCTACAGATGACTTGCTGTCAGGAGGTGGGGCTGGGTAGAGGCAGGTCACTGGGGCCGTGACATGGAAGGGCGTATCTCCCTCCCCAGCTCCTCCCTGCTTCTGCTTCCTTGCTACCACCAGGTAAACAGCTTTCTTCCACTATGCCCCTCTGCCATGCTGCTTCTATGTTTAGCCTGCTGAACATGGACTGAAGGGTCTGAAACTGTGACCCAAAAATAAATGCTCCTTTAAGTTTTAGTGTCTAAGTGATGAGAAAGTGACTGAGACAAAATCTAACATAGAGTTAAATACTTAGCTATATACTTTGAGTTGCTAGTCTTTAATAATAAATTCATTTGTATTAAAACTATCCCTTTTGAAATATAAAGTCATTTGGATATTTTTCAAATGTTAATTTTTAAAATACTAAACTCAAGAGAAAAGAAAAACAGAATTTTTTCTATTACTAAATCACCAATAACTAAACTGAGCCTGGAACATGTTAGGTACTTATTTCATCTACTCAAATAAAAGTAAGAGTCACATTAAAGTGTGGTTAGGTTTAAGGTATTGTGTGTTTCATATGATCAGTCAGTATTAATGGAGCACCTACTATGCACAGGCACTGTTCTATGTTCTAGGGAAATAGCTGTATAAGAAAACTGTCTTAGTTACTTTCCTTGTCATTGGAACACAACACCGAACACCCACAATTTAAAGGAGGAGAGGTTTATTTTGGCTCACAGTTTGGAGAGGTGTCAGTCCTTCATCAGCTGACTCCAAGACAGGAAGACATGGGACAGGGGCATGGCAGACAGGAAGCAGAGAGAACAAGAGGAGAGCCTGGGAGCGAGATACACCCTTCCAGGCCATGCCCACGTGGCCTGGCTCTTCTGACCAGGCCCACCTCCTCACAGCAAGTCAGCTATAAGGCCCCATAAACCAATCATCTTTCAAAAATCACACCTTTAACTATATGAGGCAAAAAACGTAACAAAACCGTAACAAAACGTGACAAGATCTCTGCCCTCAAGAAACTGATATTCTAGTAACAGGGTATAAACGGAACATTTAAGTAAAAGATATATTAGGAACAAGTGCTAAGGAATAAAAATAAAGCAAGGACGGGAGAAAATCTGGGGGGAGGTGTCAAGGTGTTACTAGGGTAGCTAGGGGAAGTTTCATTAAGAAAGAAGGTGATAGTTAAGTAAAGACATGAGCTGAGGGATTCCCTACAGTGATTAAGAAATGAAAGCTTTTAGCAACTAAAAGGACAGAATGTAATTTATTGAGCCAGGGATGCAATGGGGGAAGTGGCACATTAGTAGTTTAAATTCTGACATGTTAAGTTTCAAATGCCTACAAGTCATCCAAGATGTCAGACGTCAAGCAGTTTATATGAATCTGGAATTCGGCTAGAAGTTATCAACACACAGTTTTCTAATGCTATGTTTTCAAGTACACAAAACTTGCCTTTTGTGGCGTCTAATCTAGTATTAATTCTACTCAATGTATTTTTTATCTGAAACATTATATCAATTTGGTCTTTTTTAAATAACTTCCATGTCTCTCCTTATTTATGCTTTTATTGCCTTGAACCTATGGAGTGCAGTTAAGTAGCTGTTTGGGGTTTTTTTGTTTTGCTTTTAGATTTTTGAGACAGGGTCTTGCTGTGTAGTCCAGGCTGATCCTGAATTACGTAGTCCAGTCTGGCCTCAAACTTGTGGTAATTCTGCCTCAGCCTCCTGAGGGCTGGGATTACAGGCATATGCCATGCCTAGCTTAAAGTAGCTGTTTTTAACATCCTTGTCTATTATAGATACTACTTACGCATTTTAACGACCCACCTGTTTCACTACTATTTGGACTTACCCATCCTCTTTTTTTTGTACAGTTCTGTACATCTTATTTATATAGCCTCAATGACTTTATTTTATACAGTGCACCTTGTTTTTACAAAACTATAATTTTTGCTGATTGTTCTGTACATTACTGTGGTTTTATGTTGTTATACACTACAGTACTGCATGTCAGAGTTAGGCAAATAAAAGCCAAGTCATCAAGTTGGAGTTTCTTTCGACCATTTCTTTGTTCTGAATATTGTAATGTATATATTATCTACAACTCCTCATTTAGCAACCAATTCATCTAATGACCTAGTCACAAGAAAGGAACTAGGTTGTTAAATGAGGACCATTTCTACTCTATATTATGTGTCATTTCTGGAATTGCGCCTATTGATTCCTTTCTTCTTACTATGGGCTACATTTTCCTACTTCTTTGCATGCTAGTAGTTTTTCATTAGATGCCAAGCATAATAAATTTAATGGTCCTGGGTGTTGAAGTTTTTATAGTTACTTTTTATAATTTTTTGTTTTAGGACCTAGTTAATTTACCTGAAACAAGTTTGTATGTTTAAAGCTCTGAACACTATAGACACTTACTACAAGGCTAATTAATCCCCACAACTAAAGTTATACCCTTCTGAGGGCTACCTGATGCCTTGTGAGTTGAGAGGTCCTTTCAGCTGGTGCAAACATGAACAGTTCCTAGCCCTGTGCGAGCTCTAAGGACTGTTGGCCCCATTGCTTTCTCTTCTCTGAAACTCTACAGGCCCTGCATACTTTGAACTCTGTCTCCTAAATTCAGGGAGACTGTTGGGCTCTGTTTAGGTTCCTCTCCTTGTGCTGTAGTCTTGAAATCTCCTAGAATTATACCTCATTTTATCCCCTCCCTCAAGAATATAGTTACAGTAGGACAGAATGATTACAGAACAGAACACAGAATATAGCTAAGTGGGTGGGATAAAATGAAAAGGCTAATTTAAAGTGTACTCTAGTTTCTAATGAGAACTGAACCACTTAAGAATGACTATTGGGCCAGGGATTTAACTCAGTAGTTCTACCGCCTGCCTTGCAAGCACAAGGACCTGAGTTCACTCCCCGGTACCAAACAAAAAAGAATGAGACTATTACTGCTAACACATTAACCTCAGGAGAAAAAGCATACTGAGTAGTGGAGTCTGGCTCTAGAAGACCTATTGGAAGAAATGAATCACATTACAACTGCAATACAGGGAAGTAGGAAGAACATGTTCAAATGGGAAGACAAAAAGGAGAAAACAAATGGAAGAAAAAAATGGAAACAAGGCCTTTTTTGTTTGTTTTCTTGAGATGGCATCTTGCTATGTATTTCAGCTTGGCCTTGAACTCACTGTGAGCCCAGGCTGGCCTCAGATTTGTGGTGATCCTCCTGCCTCAGCCTAGCAAGTGCTAGGTTTACAGGCATCTTCCACCACACCCAGCACAAGGCTTTTGTAAAAGGAGAGGGGGAAGAAGGGTTGAAGGGAGGAGTGGGGAACAGAAAAAAGAAAAAAATAATAATTAATATATATTATGTACAGCTACAAATTCCCTACAATGAATGTGATCATAATGTATAACAAATATGTACTAATTTTTTAAATAAAGTAAAAAAAAAGAACTGCAATACAGGTATATCACAGTGTCTGCTGGCCTAACACCCTAGCTTTCTCTGAAGGAGAAAATCTAGCAAGTCCCTACCACTCCAAACCATGTTGCTCAACAACCCTCAGTACATCTGCTGCCAGCCATATCTATACTTCAGTAAGATCATCTTACCCTGAGACCAGGCAGGTGAAAAGATAACAAGGTACATAATCAAGAGAAGGAAGTTCTTCTTTACTTACTACATTCAACATAAAAGGCTTTTGTTTTTAGAAGCTAGGTATTAAAAGTAATTTTAGTTAAATCGCCAAAGAAGTTTTAAGAGAAGGGAACAGTTTCTACTGTTTGATGTTGTGTCCAGTCTACCTCATCAAGACTTCTGTTTGGTAATATGGCATTAAGAGAAGCTAATGTTCACAATGGATACAGTGACCCATATCTACTACTTGGTGGGCAGGACCAAGAAACTGGAAAGGGAACCTAAAACAAATTTACTAAGAATCTCAGGTCTCTTGTCCACCTCTCAAGGGGTAGCTCAGACTACATAGATCATGATTAAATCTTGTATCCTTGGAACCAGAGACCCCTCTCACATCCACTAAGCACATAAAGTAGGTAAGCAGGGGCCTCTCCCAGGTACTGTTCAAAACTCATTTTGTCTTCCATGGTGTTTATATACTCCATATTACCTAATACAATGCTGTGCACACACCTAAATGCTTGCTGGTTAATAAATGCCTTTACTTAAAAGGAATTGGTAAATACCCAGTTTCTACATATCAGGTCAATACTGTTTGTTATTTTCACTTTTTAGCAATCCATAAAATGTAACCATACAGAAATCAGCCTTAACCTACCTCTCTATCTTCTTACAGAGTGTCTGGTTTCATCTGAGCTCAAAGCTATCATTAAAAATGTCTTATCAGGGCCGGGGTTTAGCTCAGTGGTTCTGCTGCTTGTTGCGCAAGTGCAAGGTCCCCAGTTCGATCCCTGGTACCAAAAAAAAAAAGACATTCTCTTTCTTTTGTGCCGGGGATCGAACTCGGGTCCTTGAGCTTGCGCAGCAGGTGGCGGAACCACTGAGCTAAATCCCCGGCCCCAAGAAAATGTCTTATCACCCATTCTTTGAACACACAGGGCTCACTGATCTTAACTTTTCCACTCTTCAATGCTAGTATTTCAGTAGGTTTCGGGATCCTATCTCAAAATATAGATGAAGGTAACAAAACTGATATAGACTTTGATACTGGAATAAGTGTATTCAGATCTTAAAAAGCAACTCGGGCAGTTAAAAATCATTACGAGGGCCAGAGATTTAGCTCAGTGGTTCCACCACCTGCCTCTCAAGCACAACATTCCAAATTCAATCCCCGGTACCAAAAAACAAAAAAAAAACATTACTGTCCACATGGATTTGGAATTTTAATTCTTCATTCTGTACCCAAAGTAAAGGAAAACTAAATGTGACAGCCTCATTGAGTTCTAGGGATTGTTGCCTTGCTCTTTTCTGGCAGTTCTTTCTCTGCCTTGTAGTTTTCTCACACAACTGTGTGTAGTTAGTTCACTTCAGACTTACGGGGAATACACTGTTCTCTATCCTATCTTTGACCACTGTCAATATGGACTACTCAGCTGGGTGTGGTGGTGCATGCCTAAAATCCCAGCCCTTGGGAAGCTGAGGCAGGAGGATTGCCTCAAGTTAGAGGCCAGCCTGGGAGGGAGATTTTATATATATATATATATATATATATATATATGTATGTCTATATGTAGATAGATGGATATAGACAACTTCCTCTACAGTTTTCCCTGATAAAATTAATATATAAATATGCAAAGGTTATCGGTTCTATCGATTTGGAGTTATTTAATGTGGTAATTCAACATTATGGTTTTAAATAATATCATACGATTTGTTATGGCTGTGTCTAGCTGTCCCCCCAAAGCCTCATGCGGTCATAGGTGGAGCTTTTTCAGAGGTGGCTGGATCTATAGTGTGTGACCCTGGAATTGATTCATGGTACAATGCTAGGATCAAGGGCAGTAGGATTAAGGCTGTGAGTGCCAACCGCCCTAAGTAGCCTGGGTAAGATATAAGGGACAGAAAGAGCTGTGGTCATCCTTGTTGCTTTGCTACCTTCTGCCTGCCATGAACTGTTTCTCCTTTGCCAAGCCACCCTGCCTGGGAGCCAGCCAACTATAGACTGAAACCTCTACAAACTGTAAGCTAAATAAATCTTTCCTCCTTTAACTTTCGGTGTCGGGTACTTTGTCTCAGCAACAAGAAAAGTAACTAAGACAAGATCATTTTTGGAAATTGATATATTTTCAAAACATTCTCTTCTGTTTAAGTCACATTTCAGAGTTGTTGTTTTACTTCACATTTTATCAATTGTAAATTATTTTTTCAATTGTAAATTTTTATTACCTCAAATACTAGTCCAGTTACTATTTAAATTTATGGCATCAGTTATTCACTTTTATAATTATAAATTACTTTTCATTATGTTAACCTTTATTAAAATGATTTGCTAGCACAGTATCAATGGAATTATATATATAAAAACAGGTAAGCTGTCAGGCATGGTGGGCACAACTATAATTACAGCACTTTAGGAAGCCATGGCAGGAGAATCTCAAGTGTGAGCCCAGGGTTGGGAATGTAGTTCTGTGTGATACCCTTGGGTTCAATCCCCAACATCAAAAAAAGAAAAAGTTAAAAGAATTATGTCATCTTATTGATAAATAAGAATTTATGTCTCTAGCCAGGGATTTAGCTCAGTGGTTTCACTGCCTGCTAAGCAAGTGCAAGGACCCAAGTTCGATCTCCCAGGTACCAAAAAAAAAAAAAAAAAAAAAGAATTTATGTCTCTTAATAGTAAGAACCTTAGCATCATTAATTATCCTTACAAATTTCAAGTTTATTTTCAATCATGGTAACTTAAAAATTACATCCCCCCAAATTTTGCATACCAAAAAAAATGTTTAAAGAACAAGGCAAGTTTGGATGTTGTAAACTATGAATGATAAAGTTTAACATTTCAAATAATTTAAATAATGTAAAAAATTTCTTTTCCATAATCACCAAATATTTAGGTATAAGTTATCCTGCAAGAGTCACTAAAGGAACCTCCAAGCCCCATTAACTGTTAACAGCATTTGCTCTTAAAACTAATTCTAATTATTATTCCACTGCATTATATGTACTCACCTTATGTAAATCCATTTCAGCTTTTAATTTGTTTTGTGCCCACTTTACTTTAATGATGTGAGAGTTGATATCTTCCTTTAGTTTGTCTATTTCTCTGATGAGTCTAGTTGTTTCACTTTCCTAAAATAGTATCATTCAGTCACATTTTTCACTTACACAATCTGCTATTTATCGGTTTCTTTTATATTCCCTAAAAGTAATCAGTGCAGTAACACTATAATTCAAGTGCTGTATGGCCATAAAACTGATTCAAAGTTCAAACAATAAAAAGGGCAGTAAATGCTATTAGTAATAATGAAGATAATTAACAACAAGATGTGTAATAAGCACAAACCTATCTTTTATGATTCTTAACAAGCTAACATTAAGGTGAAATATAAACTAAATTGATTTTTCTAGAATTCCTGAAGCTTGTAATAGTATTTCTGAATTAAAAGTTAACAATAAAAAATAAGTTAACAATAAGAGCTCTGAATAACTATCTCAGTAATAAAACTCCCTAAGACAAAATCTGAGGAGGATATGTCTATCTGAAAGAAAAAAAATTATATTCTATGGTTAGTAAGTCTTATATTAAGATTCTGGCCAGATTACACTTTTACAAAATTACTTGGCTCTAAAATTATTCATATTTAACACTACTGTATACATGTTGTACCAAAATATAGTCTCCACTTGAAGCATAAACTAATTTTTCCCATACACAGATTTTTAAAAAAAGTTTTTAAAAAGACATATCATGATAATGGGAAATTAGAAGGTAGACTTTAAAGAGATGGCAAAGGGGACCAGAGAGAAGAGGGAAAAATGGGGAGGGAGGGACAGGGATAAAAATAGTCAAAATATGTTATATACATGTACCAATATACCAAAAACTCATTATTCATATGCACCAATTTTAAAAAAGGCCTATCAAGAAATATTTCTCCAGCACATATTTCTGTAGACAGGTAATGGGATGCTGCAATTCCTGAACCGTTCATGTTCTTAGTAGATAAACTAATAAAAATAACTTTGCATTTGAGTGTTTTAACCATGTTATGATTTAAGTAAAAGCAAAAAGAATACATTTGAAATAAGGTACAATAGCATAAGTTATACCTTTGTTTCATACAGCTGCTGCAACCGTCCTTTCTCCTGAGAAAGTTGCTTAATTTTGTTAGTGTTTTTCTCAAATTCCTTATTTGCATCTCTAAGCTTTCTCTCAAGTATTTCTTTTTCCTTTCGAAGGTCTAAAGATTCCTTCTCACCTCTTACATACTTCATTACCATTGCTTCTTTTTCTTGGCGTGCCTCTTCACATTTCTTATTGGCCTTGAAGAAATATGATTTAGCATTAATAAGAAGTATTTTTCAAATAAAAATATATGAAAGTAAATATTTTACTACATTATTATCAATTTAAAAAAAAAATTCCCAGGACTTGTGCCATAAAATTTGAGGATAAAGGGGAAAATTCAAAATTATGGAAAAACGATATGGGATTAATATTTGCTTTTACCCGCTCCTATTCCTTTTACTTTGGCTGATACGGAGGTTATTTTCATTTATTCCTCCATATCTGCCTCTCACTATTTTCTGTCCTGCCCTCAGGAAGAAGACCATCACAGGCCATATAAACAAGCACCTTTATTTTCAAACTTTCAGTTGGATTCCACCAACAGGAGGTGCTAGACAGTAGCTCAAGAATTAAGAAAAGTAAGATCTGCCTCCTCCAGTCACCAGTGGTTGGCCCCTCTATTACTGATTTGAACTGCTCCTGAGTCTCCAGCACTGTAAGGCAAATAAGCTTTTCTTTCTTGAGTACCCGGACTCAGGAATTTTGTTATAACACATAATAGACTAATAAAAAAAGATATATACATAAGCATGTATGACTTGCACACATATACATGATGTGATATATAACCAAAATATCAATCATTAGCTATGAAACAAGGAATGGGATGTAAAAAGCTTGGAGGCAGAGAAAGCAGAAACAGAGATGAAGGAGGGCTTTCATTTTTTATTGCATACACTTCCTTGGTTAACTTTGTAACAATTATCATGTACTTAATGTATTGGTTTAATTTTAAAAGGTGAATTTTTATACAAATAAAGTGACCTCTTCTTACAGAGTTAGTTTATTTTAATAAATAAGAAAGAGTCAAGTTACAATGATAATGAATTATGAATACCTGTTCCATCCTTTGAGCCATCTCTTTGTGTAACTGCTGAATTGTATTTTTAGCTGCAACATCCTGAGCTACTAGTTTATCTTTGGAAGCTTTAACTTCTTTATTAAGTTCTTCTATTCTTGTTTCTAGCTGTAAAGAAAATTTCTTTTAGATTATTTTTATAGCTATACCAAACAGACTTAATACCTGAAATAAATATATACATTATAAACAAATGTAATGAATTAACTCTAATTATAGAAATCAAAACTGTTAACATTGTTTCTATGTCGCACTGGAATTGGTATAAACCTGAAAAGACTGTGATATATCAAATTGTATTTATGATAAGCCCTATACTATCTACCAAGAAATAATTCAAAGAAATTATCTTAGTTACTTCTCTCCGGTTGTGGAGACAAAATACCTAATACTCACAAGTTAAGGGAGGAAAGGTTTATTTAGCTGAGAGATCAGAGAAGTTTCAATCCATAATTGGCTACACTTTTGTTTCAAAGATACAAGTAGACTGAATATAAATGGAAAAAGATAACTGTGTGTAAACAACAATCACAGGAAAGTAGAAGTGGCTATACTAATACCAGACAAAAGAGACTGGAATAAAAATATTACACTCTAGAAGTGAAGGACATTTTATAATGATAAAAAGATCAATTAATCAAAAAGATCTAACATATATCTAATAACACAGCATCAAAATGCACCAAAAAAAAAAAAAACCTAACAAAAATGAAGGAGAAAATAGGCAAATCACTAACAACAGGAGGCTCCAATACCCTATTTCTGAAAATGGACAGAGGCAGATGATTACCAAGGAAATAGATTTGAACTATGCTATAAAACATAATGTTATAGTGGATAACATACCAAAATTACTAAATGCAATGTTTAGAGGGAAATTACTAACTACATTGTAAAGAAGAAAGACGTCAAATCAATAATTTAAACTTCTATCTAAAAGAACTGGAAGAAGAAAGAAAATAATAAAAGATTAGAGTGAAAATTAATGAAACAATAAAAAGTGCAGAAACAATCAAAATTAAAAGGTGATCCTTTGAAAAGATTAATAAAAGTGACAAACTTTCACCTATACTGAGACACAAGACTCAATTACTAGAATCAAAATGAGAGACATTATTACTAAATTTACAGAAATAAAAAAGACAAATACCATGACCAGTTTAATTTAGATGAAATGGACAATTCCTTAGTAAAACATAAATCACCAAAACTGTCTCATGAAGAAACATGAAGCCCTGAATAGACCTATAAAGGTTTGAATTGAAAAATAAATAAATGGAGGAAGAAGAGGAGGATGAGGGGAAAAAAAAAAAAAAAAAAGAACCACTAGCCATCATGAAAAATTCAGTCTAGACGGCTACTCAGGTAAATTTTACCAAACTTTTTAAAAATTCCAATATCTCTACAGGAAAGGAACACTTCCCAACTTATTCTTTTCATTCCTAGGTATACATCAAAGGATAAATGAAAGCATATGTTCACAGAGGTATTAAACAGTCAAACAAAACAAACCAAATGTCCATCAACTGATGAAGAGATAAAAAAAAATTTGCACTTCTCTACTGTGACAACTTGATCGTTGGCTTAATTGGATTAAAAGATGCCCATGGAGGTGACTGGATTGTGAGGGCGTTAACTTCATCAATGGATTAACCCATTGATGAGTTCATAGCTATTATAAAATGGGGTCTGGTTGGAAGAAGTAAATCATTGGGGGTATGCTTTTGAAGGGCGTATCTTGCCCCATCTTTTTCCTTTCTGGCATTTTCTCTCTCACTTGGTTTCCTGGCTGCCAGGAGGTTAGTAGCTGTCCCCAACCATGCCCTTCCACCATAATATTTCTGTCTTGAAGCCAGCTGACCATGGAACAAATCCCCTGAAACTATGAGCCAAAATAAACCTTTTCTCCTTTAAACTGTATGTCAAGTATTTTGTCCTAGCAATAGAAAAGTGACTAATACACATAAAATGGAGCATTACTCAATCACCCAAAGAAAAGTACTGGTACACATTACAAGTTGAATGAAACTTTGAAAACATTATGTTAAGTGAAAGAATCTAGACACAAAAGGCTATCATATGATCCCCTTTATATGAAGGGTCCAGAACAGGGAAATGTATAGCAAGAGAAAGACCAGCTTTTCCATGGGGGTGAGGGTTACATAGATGGAAAACATGGATTGACAACTACTGGATATAGGGTTTCTTTTGGGTGATAGAATGCTCTAAAACTGTGGAGAAGTTTTTCAACTTCCAACTGGAAACTACTCAATCATATACTTGAAACGGGTGAACTATATGGTATGTATCTTTAAAAAAATTTAGCTGGGTATGGTGGTGCACGCCTGTGATCCCAGCACTTAGGAAGCTGAGGCAGGAGGATGGATGCAAGTCTGAGGCCAGTATGAACTACACAGTGAGACCCTGTCTGAAAAAACCTAAATAAATAAAGTTTTTAAACACCTCAACATTAGCTTAGGCACATGTGTTATCAATTTTCCTTATAAAATTACCTAGAGTAACACTGCCTAACAGAAAAACAAACCACATGCATAGCTTCGATTTTCTAATGATCACATTTTTAAAGAGCAAAATGAAATAGACAAAAATTTATTAAACCTCAAATACCCAAATTATCATCATTTCAATATATAACCAACATTTAAAATTGAGCTGTTTTATACTTTTTGTACTAAGTCTTCTAAATTAGATGTGTTTTACACCTACAGGAACTTTCAATTTGGGCTAGCCACCTTCCATATGCTCAATAGCTACATGTGGCTAATGGTTACCATGTTGGACAGAGCAGATCTAGAGACAAATAATTATTAAGAAGGAAAGAAAATCCTGCCATACTAATTTTAGATTCAGAAGTATAAACTTTTCTAAACGCTAGCAAAAGAAAGGACCTAATGTTCTCCCCACCCACCCCCACCCCTTTTTTTTTTGCCAGTGCTAGAGATTGAACCCATGACCTCATGCATGGCAGGCAAGCAATTTCTACCACTGAGCTACACCCACACCTTTTTAAAATTTTTGTTTGGGGACAAGGTCTTGCCAAATTGCCCAGGTTGGCTTCCAATTTACAACCCACCTGCCTCCATCTCCCAAGTAGCAGGGATTACACAGTAGCTGGGATTACAGGCATTGTTATGGGATTTAGAGCTAGAAATCACCTCAGAATTTCACATGATGATAGGTGGGAGGTGATTGGATTATCCTCCATCATAGCTGGCTATGATAGGAAAATAATATTGTCAATACAACATAACAGAACTTATGGGACACAATGAAAGCAGTCCTGTGAGGGAAATGTATAGTGGTGAATTCCCACATCAGAAAAACAGAGTGAGCTCTAATGAATAACCTAATGTCATTCAAGTTTCTAGAAATAGAAGACCAAGTTAAACCCAAAGAACATACAAGAGAGGCAATTATAAAGATAGAGCAGAAATTAGTGCAACTGAGGCTAAGAAAATAATATAAACCCTTAGCCAACTTTATCAAAAAAGGAAAGATGCAAATCCATATAATTCGGAAGGAAAAGGGTGAATTCACAACAGATCCTAGAGAAATCCACAAGATCATCAATACCTGCTTTGAGAACCTGTAGATGGAAAATGGAGAAATGGACAGATTCCTTGATACATATGAATTATCAAAGCTGAATCAAGAAGATATAAAAATTCTAAATAACCCAATATCAGTCAATGAAATTGAAGAAGTAATTTAAAAACTACCAACAAAGGGCTGGGGATTTAGCTCAGTGGTTCTGCCACAGGCCCAAGATCCGGAGTTCTATCCCAGGTACCAAAAAAAAAAAAACAATACCAACAAAGCCCAGGTCCTGATGGATTCACGGCTGGATTCTACAAGAAATTTAGAGAAGATCTAATGCCATTATTCCTCGAACTCTTTAATGAAATTAAAAGCTAAGCAATATTCCCAAACTAATTCCTGGAAGCAAGCATTACCCTAATACCAAAAACAGAGAAGGATCCAACAAAAAAAGAGAACTATAGGTTAGTCTCCTTAATAAACATAGATGTAAAAATTCTGAATAAGATACTGGCAAAGAGAATGCAGCAAATCATCAAGAAGATTATGCACCATGACCAAGTAGGATCCATCCCAGGAATACATGGATGGTTCAACATTTGCAAATCAATAAATGTCATACACCACACGATCATCTCAATAGATCCAGAAAACACTTTTGAGAATGTCTAACACCCATTCATGATTTTTAAAAAACCTACAGAAAGTTGGAATAGAGGGTCTTTATCTCAAAATGATAAAAGCCATCTGTGACAAATCAACTGCCAACATAAACTAAATAGTCAAAAAATTGAAGCTTTCACTCTAAAATCATGAACAAGATAAAGGATGTCCATTATCACCACTCCTATTAAATACAGTTCTGGAAACAACAATCCTCGGCCATAAAATATCTTACCTTTTAAGAGTTACATGTAAATTTCTGAATGCTATAATTTTTGTGGCCTCTTGAAAGAGTGGTGTTTTAAACAGTTTAATAGTTGAGTAAAGAATTTTCATATAAAAAAGAAAGAAAAAGCCTTGGCAAGTCAGCTAGCCAGATACCTAAAGTATAAGAGCCAGTGCTCATAGTGTAGTTTATAAAAACACTGAGAATGAAACTATATTATAATGTAAGTGTAAAAACAACCCAATGCTAGATATACAGTTTTAGTTATTGCTTCTCGTTTGGTTAAAAACAATCTAGCTGACTGTAAAATCAAATCATTTTTAGTATTACTTTGAACATAATTCTATTGTATTTAGTAGACTAATCATACAAACCATAAAAGTAGGAATTTACATATAAGAAAGTCAGGCTATGTAAGAGAATGCTTTAAATACCAACCAATCCTGTGCATTTAAAACATTTCAATTTACAGAATTTCAACTTACACACAATTTTAGGAATATATTTTCTGAATTAAGGTATGGTCTTTAAAATTTTTTATTTTTTTACCTGTTTAATTGTGCTCATATGCTGCTTCTCTGTTTCTGTTCTTTTTTTAAGTTCTTCTCTTAAATTGTCTTTTTCTGAACATATGTCTAAGATGAGCTCCTGATGTTTCTTGTTTTCTTTAATTAGCCTAAATATAAAAGGGTAGTATAAATAAAACATAATTAAAACTGGAGAAGTAATCAGTAGAATAAAATCTATTTAAAAATTAAAATATAAATACCTACCACTGTAAGTTAACATTTCTAAATATTTTTATAATAAAATCTTTTCATACAAGGACAAAATTGCCTAATACATTTCTCAGAAAATGTCCTCATGGTTATGTGACTGTACTTTTAATGCTAGGATGCCTCTAATCTTGTCAACTGAAGAAAAGTAGCTTGGCTTAGTCATCAACGTGAGCAATCGTTTTGTTGATCCATTCATCAGTTATTTTGAAAAACATTCTCTGGCCAATCAGGTATTAATTTTTTCCTAGAAATTTCAAATAAAAAGAAACAGGGTTGCTACTGCTACCTAGTGAGTAGAGATAAAAAATGCTAAGGCCAGGGATTTAGCTCAGTGGCGCTGCACCTGCCTTGAAAGGACAAAGTCCTGAGCTCAATCCGTGGGACCGGGAAAAAAAAAAAAATGCTGCTAGACTTCTTTTAATTCACAAAGCAGCCCCCAGGACTAGAATCATCTGGCCCAAAATGGCAACAGGGCCAAAGTTGAGAAATCCCGCTTTAGATTAAATTACTTTAATGGCATTCTATTAGTTACAGAAATATAGTCAATGTAAAAGAAAAAATTAAACAGAAGTTTCATTTTAAGTCCCCCTATAAAAATAGAAACAAAACCTTAAAAATTGCCCACAAAATACTCAGAACTATATAACTAATAAACAGCTATTCTAGATTAATAGCAATAGCTATTACCTAACACTTTTTGCACACCTATTGTTTGCTAAGTTTAGCCTTATAAAAGTGTTATTATTTAATATTCAAAATAAGTTTGTGAAATTTTCATCATCATTTGTATTATGAATTTGAAATAAAACAAAAGTGAAGCCTACAACTTTTCCAGGTCATATAGCTAGTAAGTGTTTAATCTGAGTTCTGAAGTCAGGTGTAATTGCAAAGCTCAAGCTTTTCTCACTTTTCATTGAGGAACACTCGTTCATTCAATAGATGGTTACTGGGTAGCTACTATGTGCCTTACTATTCTTCATGCAGATAATAATATGTCAGCAAACAATCCTTGCCCCTCTTAGAGCTTATATTCTGAGGAAGAAAATTAAAATAAATATGTAAATATACGTATGTATGTTAAGCAGTGATTAAATGCTATTAAGAAACATAAAGGAAAACAAGATAACAGAAAGTAGTCATAATAGGCCTCTGTGAGGAACTGGTACTTGAGTACAGGAATGAGGTGAAGAAATAAGCAAGCAATGTTTGGGAAAGAGGCAAATGCAGCATTCGTGTTTATTCAAGCCATTCATGATACACTGGTTTAACTTCGGATGTTTATATGATTAAGTGTATAATCAATTTGCTGCAGAAAACTTGAGATAAGAATCCTGGCTATAATTCAGAGTTAAAGGAGGGGGAAAAAAGGAGAAAGACAAGAGCATTCAAATTATTTTTGTTGATGTTGTTTTGTTTTGTTTATTGCAACGTTAGGTTTCAAACCCAGGGTGGCCTCACATATGCTAGGCAAGCATAGGCAAGCTCATTTTAGCACTGAGCTACACCCATAGACCAAAATTACTTTTTATATGTTAAGTACACATTATTGATATACCTATTCTTAATTTAAAACTTTGGTTGGGACACTAGACAACAATGTTGGTATGTTAGAAAATACAGGAATAGAAAAATAGTGAATGGTAGCTGCCAGGGGAGATGTTGGTCAAAGAGTACAAATTTTCAGTTCTAAGTTGAATAAATCCTGGAGCCCTAATGTACGCCACAGTGGTAACACTTAGTGACATCATACTGTATACTGAGAGCTTGAGGGGGTCACACCAGACACACAAAGTATGTAAGGTGATGTATGTGTTATCTAATTTGATTGTGGTAATCATTTCACAATGTATTAAATTATCATGCTGTGCACCTAAAATACGTACAGTTTTGTCCTTAGTAAAGCTGGGACAAAACAGAGGATTGGAACTATAAACAAAGATATTTGGAAATATATGCATTTGTGAAAATTTCAAAGGAAATGAAACAAATCTTTTTCATAAAAATTAAATGAAGACAAAAATTTTTTTTAAATCCTGAGTTATATCAGAGCATCTTATTTGCAATTAGTTTGGTGGTTTTGCCACTTGCTGCGCAAGTGCAAGGACCCGAGTTTGATCCCCAGCACCAAAAAAAAAACATTATGTATTTAACAAAAGATCAACCTAACTTTAATATGTGACAAAAAAAATAATAATATGTGACATTTGTAATGCCTTAATGTCCCATAAAAGTCCCACTCGGTAAGTACAGTGCCCGCCCCTCACAGAGATGAAAAATCTTTGAGTCAAAGAAGATGGCTTGGCCAAAGTAGCAGAGCTTCCAAAGAGTAAGGGGAATATTCCAGCTCCAGGATTTTGCTTAGAACTGTGCTTATCCTACTCTACCATGCTGCCTCTGGTCTGTCAGGCTGGAACAACAACAACAAAAATCATTTTTTTACACACCTAAAGTTAAATTTAACAATTTATAACTTGTTAATTTCCAATAGCCACATTTATAAAACTTCTGGAGCCAAACTAAAAAGGTTCAGATTTTAACCTCGTATGACCTGCATGTGACCCTGAAAACAAGTAACACAACACTGTTTCAGGTTCCTCATTTCTAAAATGGGGATAATAATAGCACTACAGGGCCACAGATTTAGTTTAGTGGTTTTGCCGCCTGCTGTGCAAGCGCAAGGACCGGAGTTTGATCTCCGGTACCAAAAAAAAAAAAAACAACAGTATTACATACCACATAGAGTTCTTGTGAAGATTCCCTGAGTTAATATATGCAATGTATTAGGCACATAATCAACAGCATCTAACTGTTTTCTGTGATTATTAAAAGTATAATCTTAAATTTTTTTTTCCTGGCACCGGAAATGGAACGCAGGACCTTGTGCTTTCCAGGCAGGTGTGGCAGTGCTAAGCTACATCCCTGTCCCTATAATCTTAAAATTTGTAAGAGATAAATGAAAGTGGTAAGAGTCCATATCTAAGCAAAATGGGACGATGCATCAGAAGTAATTTCAAGGGGATGATCTAAAACAGTAGGTATAGAGAGCAGGGAAATAAGCGAGTTACCTTTAAAAAGTACAAGTGGTAGAAACACTAATGGTGCACCTAAAAAAAGTACAGTATATAGTTTATTCGCATAATGGTAATAACAACAGTAAGGATACAAATAGAAGTATTAGTTTGGGGAGAGTATTAAGAAGGGCATTGGAATCTTGAAGGTTTTTTTGTACAGCTGTTTTCGTGAGCAGCATTATTCACAACAGTCAAAATGTAGAAGGAACTCAAATGTTAATGAATGAATAAACAAAATGTAGTGGATACATAGAAGGTTAAGTAATATTCAACTTTTAAAAGTATAGAAATTCTAGCCAGGTGTGGTGGCATATGCCTTTACTTCCAACACTCTTGGAAGCTTGAGGTAGGAGGATTACGAGTTCTAGCCCAGTCTGGGCAACTTGGTAACTTAGCAAGTCCCTGTCTCAAAATAAAAAATAAAAAGGACTGGGGATATAGCTCAGTGCAAAGGCCTTGGATTTAATCCCCAGTGCTGAAAAAAAAGTACGGAAATCCTGATACATGTAATAACATGGATAAACTGAGGATGTCACAGCAAGTGAAATAAGACAGTGACTAAAAGATAAGTACCACATGATTTCACGCACATGAAGTACCAAGAGTAACCACACTCACAGAAACAGAAAGCAGAATGGTAGCCACCAGGAACTGGGTCTGGATGTGATTAGGAAGATACTGTTTAATGGGTAGAGTTTCAGATTTACAAGTTGAAAAATTTCTTGAGATTGGCTGTATAACGTGAATATATGTTAACACTACTGAACTATACATTTTGAAATGATAAAATTGTAAATTTTATTTTATGTCCATTTTATCACAATCAAAAATAAAGAAATATAGAAAAGGGGGGACTAGCCCTGAATATTAAGAGATTAAAGTTCACTGGGTAAACTAATCCATTGAACAGGATATTCTGGCAGAGTAGAGAAGAAGCAGGGAGATCATGAAAAGCCAATTACATATCAAGTAATATCTGGACTGTGGTGTATTTTCCTCTGTCATCCTCCTGGCATGTGGACCTCCTCCTTTCTTTTCTCTATATACACACTCCCCTTAATTAAAAGAAAAGCTCTTTTGGGGGGGTGGGTACCAGGGATCGAACTCTGGTCCTTGCGCTTGCACAGCAGGCGGCAAAAACACTGAGCTAAATCCCCGGCCCCTAGAAAAGCTTTCTAAGTACTGTATTTTTTAGAAAGAATCAGTATGTATGTATTTAATGAAGGCTGATCTTTTGTTATAAAAGAGTACCTAAACCAATACATCACTTAGCTACACAAATCTAGAATGAAAATATAGAATGAAATTAGACCATCACTAAAACAGAAGTACACAAATCTGAGAAATCTAAAGACAGAAGTCTGAGTGCTTATTTACTAGATAATAATCAACTAATTTGTCTTCAAATTTTAATTTTTAAACAATTAATTTATACTGAGAATTTTAAGGAAACATGAACTTTATTCCTTTTAATTTTCTTCTGACTTTCTCTTATTTTTGACACACAGTGGTAAATTAATGAACTTAATTGGCTCCACAATTTTGGAAAAGATGGCCAGGTTTGTGTTTGTGGGAGAAAGATGGCCACAGTCAGGTTTGTCACCTGATGTAGAATTTGCAAACAAAAACAAAATTCTGCCAAATGCCTTTGTTTGCAAACCAAACTGCAAACAAAAGCATTTGGAAACAGAGATACTACTCCACTTCAACATCAGTGATGGCGAACCTTTCAGAGACGAGGGCCCAAACTGCAACCCACAAACCACTTATCATGAAGTCCCAACACTGCAATTAAACCTGAGCACTGAAGTTTCGGTTTGGAAAAAAAAACTCATACATTAACACCTTTTGTCTTAGGAGAAAAATTACACATGTGCCGTAAGTTTGCCTCCACTGTGCCACATTCGTACAGAAATGAAACCCGAGGGCTGAGTGTGCAGCTCAGATGGGAAGGCCTTCACCAGCATGCACAAGGCCCCTGGTTTAAACCCCAGAATTGTTAAAGAAATTTCTTATAAAGAAAAGCTTTGGTCACCATTATAAAAAGTTCTAGCTCTTTAATGAACTTAGATAATTTATTATATTTACTCTTTATATTTAGAATATTAAACTACTAAAAAATGTTGACATTTTTATCAATGATGTGCATGGCTCTACTATAGAATTAAAAGTAGACAAGATGGTATTTCCTTACAAGAATTCAATCTCTAATCCCTATGAAATGATGACCTAAAGAAATAAACTTACTTTTTTATAGTATGTTCCTGTTGCAAATACTTATCTTGCACACACTTTTCAAACAGAACTAATGCATGTTCTCCTTTATTCATTCCATTTGGTACTTGGTGTTCTGCAAACTCAGTAGATAAGAGTTCAGATTCTATTTGTTCCAACAAATCTTCTGATGCTGAAACAGTCTTTATTTTTGAAATGAGTTTCTTGGTGCAGTCCGTATCATAGGGACTTTCTGAATAAGTCTTTTGATTAGCAGCTTCTGTAAATGTAGATGACCTTAATTCTGCCAATATTTGTGTTACTGTCTGTTCAGTTTCACTTGTTTTTGACACTTGCTTTGCGGAATCTCCACTAGGAAAGTTAGCTATTTGTTCAGAATTTTCTGGGCATGTATCTATTTTAGCACAAGAATCCTCACCTCCACCATGATCTGGAACATAGTTTTCAGAAGCTTCAATTTGACAGTGTTCATTAGGCTGACATAAGATTTTGTCAAAGTTTAATGACAATAGTTTGGATTCATTTTCTAATTTGCTGCTTTCATCACCAGAAAATGAGTTACAGGAGTCTTCCTTTAACTCGGGTGTTTTTCCAATATGTTTCTCAGAAGGAATGGAGGCTATGTGCTCGGTCTCCGACATGCTGACTGGTACCAATTCACTTTGCATTTCTTCAAATCCACTCCTGATTTTTGTTTTACATCTAAGAAATTAAAACATCAAAATTTAAAAGTTTTTAAACCAAAACTTCATAAATCTTTGCACACACTCCATGATACAGAATAACTAAGATCACAAATTTTATCAGTAATAAATCATTAATGAAAGCTTTCCCTTGAGAAAAAAGACTAAGACAGTCAAGCCAAGTTGCATATAACCAGCAAGGCCACTGCAAAGTCTGTCTCTCCTCCTCCTCTTCATTCAGCCAAGTTCACTAATTAATTTCTGTTTCAGTCTGGCATTCCCCAGATCATCCCTTTAGGACATTAGATAGAGAATATTTGTAACGTAAAGTATTAGTGCTAAAATATATGTAGAATTTCTTTAACTCTGTGAGGGAAAAGAAAACAGCAAGACCTGTAAGACAAATATTAGAGAAAGAAGGCAGCAATGAAACGCACTGGAAGCAAAGAAAGGCAAGATAACAAAACAATGTACTTTGATGATGATAAAAATGTACTGAGAAAGAAAACTAAACAATAACAAGACATAACTACCTATAGCTCATAGGCCTAGCTCCAAAGGATCCCAGATAGGAATTAGTTTTTCATACAGGCAGGATCCAGGAAGTACCATGGTGATTTTCAAACATTCTCATCAGGAATAAAACAATGTTTGGTGCAAATCAAACAGAGCCCATATGCACTGCCTAGGTCAATAAAAGCACCATTAAAAATTAATTTGATAAGATTAGAATAATTTTGGTATCATTTATATAGGTTAGTAATTCAACTACCTTATAATTAGTCAACTTCAAATATTACCCTGTATAAATATAAAATCTCAGAATGATGTTTGACTTGCCAACCTCTTTGTCAGGTATCAACAAAGCATATACAGGATAGATGAATTATCAAAGCTATATGAAGTTACATTAAAAAGTAGCCAGATAAGGGCCGGGGATTTAGCTCAGTGGTTCCACCGCCTGTCTCGCAAGCACAAGGTCCCAAGTTTGATCCCCAGTACCCATCCCCTCGAAAAAAATAGCCAGATAATTGTTTGGACAGCAAGTAGGACAGAATTCCAGATGAGAGATACACAAATGGAAAACAAAAAAAGAGTAAAATTTTGCATAACAGAAAGTTGCATGTTTATATCAGCTTGTGATGAAGATGGTGGTCAGAGAATACTAAGCAAACACGAATTTTGTTAATAAGGACAAATTATAAACCTTAAGACTTGTATACTTGATTATACTATAGTTCCTAGCACAGAGGTTCTGAAAGATTGCTCAAATGAAAATCTTTTTCTGCTCTTTTTTTTTGAGATAGAGTCTCACTATGCAGTTCAGGCTGGCCTGGAACTTGCAGTGATCCTCCTGCCTCAGCCTCAGGTGCCGGGATTACAGGCATGGGCCACCATACCCAGCTGTCAAATTAAAATCTATAAGCACAGAAATGATGTGATAAAGTTAGTATTTGAGAAACATTATTCTAGGAATGCAGAAAATTAGACAAAGACAAGTCTGTCTGGTAAGCATCCCTGTCTGTCAATTTAGACTGTGCTTTGGGGCATGGATTGATAAAGCCACTGACCTTAGTACTCTACTTATCTGCATTACATTTATTTCAAAGAAACTAAACAGAAATTATCATTATCTTGATGTGTGTATTTTATAACCAAGCCAAAGCTCACACTGGTATTAAAGGCTTGGTTTAGAAAATACAAATATACACAGTAAGTAAATAAAAAGCCTCAGATGTATGGTATCTATGGTAAAGTAAAATGGGTTTCAAACAGAGACACTGACCACTACCTTACCTATAGTAATGCACTTTAAGAAACAACTTGTGAATGTGTTGCTGATGAAATCAATTTAGAAATCAATCCAAAAACGAAGCAGTCTTAAACATAACTAGTTAATGCTATTCCAACAGAAATGGAGCCCAAAGCAGTCAAAAAGAAATGGGTAGGAGATAAAAGAATCTTTTTAAGGGAGAATAAGACTATAAAGGTATTGTAACTCCCCAGCATATAGCAACTGAGAAGAAACTTTATCAATGACTTGAAGGCTCCTATCTGTGTGTCATGATTTGTCAACAGAAAAACACTAAGCAAATATTGGTTTATTAGCCTCTCACATGAACCCAGAGTTCAGTCCTAGTATTTTCTCCTCCTAGAATTCGTCAACTTAGATAATTAGAAGCTACAACTCACAGCTGATGCCTACACAATTATTTTCAGTCCTGTGTCCTTGAGTTACAGATACCTACTTATTTATCTCCTCTTTATTCTATGTCTGTCCCTGTATTAAAGTTTCTCTGAGTACAGGCATTTCCACTGGAAATTTCTCCATAATCTCAAACTCAAAACAGCCAATCCAAAATCATAATTATAGTTCTATAATTAAGTACCCCCAGCTAATCTTTTCTATTCTGTCAATGGTATCATTTTTCTTAGTCATCTGATGTCTTCCTTTAATTTGTCCTCATATTCTCTTAACAATTCTACGTCTTCTACATTTCTATTGTTACCATCCCCTACTTGGAACATATCCAGGCCTCTGGTCACCTTGTATGACATTTAACTGTTGATTTGTCAATTTCCCTCCATCTCCTGTTTTCCTGTGTACAACTCTAAATAAAGGAGCAAGGTTAATACCAAGCACAGGTTACTTGGGAGAGCCCAGGGGTGAGACAGCATCAGATCAAGTAGCAGGCCATCCAATCCAGAGAAGAGGGTTAAAGTGTGAAGATTCTGGCTCTGCCAAACAGAGAGAAGCTACTTTCTGAAGAAGGTCTTCAGTGGCAGAAAGACCCAGGAGCTATAACACTGCCCCTACAACATCTACACACATCACAGATCACCATAAAAAGCAGCCAGATGAGGGGCTGGGATTTAGCCCAATGGCACCTCGCCTGCCTCGGAAGCACAAGTTCCTGAGTTCGATTCCCTTACCAAGGGAAAAAAAAAAAGCAGCTAGATGAACCAGAGAGAAGCCAGGGTTATTTCTCCCCTCTTTAAAAGATTCAGGTAAAAAAAGCTCTGCCTCTGCAGGCTGCTGTCTTCCCCCAACTCCTCAAGGGCTTGTCAGAGAAAGGGGTCTGAACCAGTCTTGGAGTCAAATCACACCTCTTCAAGCCAAGGAGCTGGGAACTTCAGTTTTCTTTAAGAAGAGGAATAAGTTTGTGATTACATTTTGTTGTTGTTGTTGTTGCTTGTTTTTGCTTTTTAAATGACAGGGACCTGTCCTAATCCTGTGGTCATCAAAAGTAGCAGAAATGTTATAAGATCAGAGCATAGGAGAGTGTACTTCAGAAGAAAGGGGACAGGCTGGGAGTGTCTTACACAGTCTTCTTACTAGAGACTCATTAAAAAAAATTTTTTTTAAAGCCAGGTATGGTGGAGCATGCCTGTAATCCTAGCACTCGAGACTGAGACAGTAGGATCACTGTAAGTTCGAGGCCAGCTTGAACTATACAGTGAGACTCTGACTCAAAAAAAAAAAAAAGATTCATTAAAAAAATAGAGCTGGAGAATGGTACAGTGTTTGCCTAGCATGTGTGAGGTCCTGAATGTGTTCCCCAGCAGCACAAAAAATAAAGCAAATAAAAACATGTAAAATCTTTTCATTTGTACACCCCTGAGCTGAGATTACTCAGCAAGCCATTTACAGTTGTACTACTTTTCCAATCTTATCTACTAACACATACCTAAAATCCTAGTGCTTCACTCTAATAAACTAATCCCACGAGTCTACTCAAGATTCATCTAAATAATCTACACATCATTTCCATGATGTTATCTCCATCTAAAATATTTTTCCCTTCTGGCTATCTAGAGACTAATCACATTTAATGACATGACTGATTCTAAGGCCATATCTTCCTCCAAATTTTCCCTCATCACACATACAAAAATGATATGTAAAATTAAAACATAATGCATTTATACTCATCAAGCAGATGGAGCCTTTCTTAGGACATATTTGAACAGGCAGTCTTCCACCTTTTAAATGAGTTCTGTTCTTGCAGAAGTGAATCAAAGTCCTTAAGTTTCAAGCAACATAATGGTAATAATAAATAGATAAATCTGACAAATAAATTGACTACATTTATACTCATTGTTGGAAATGTTCAGCAGGGGTTCTCAATGATGGTGGGACCCACTGAGTTTACATAATGACCCGGGACCCAAACAGCGATTAAGAGGTAACAGGTACTAAGCAGATTTAATAATCTGTAAGACAGTGCGGAACAACAAAAATTTACCTTATACCCTGCTCAATATTCTTCTGGGGGCAAAGGGGAGTATCCTACTTTATTAAGTTTAGAATACCCTGTAATTTAAAAAAGGCTAAATTTGGGCTGGGGATTTAGCTCAGTGGTTCTGGGCGGAAGGACCCGAGTTCGATCTCCGGTACCAAAAAGAAAGACTAAATTTAACCTCAAAAGTTAAGTATTTTCTATACCTTCTATCAGTAATATGCCCATGACCTTTGAAAAAGTCTTCAAACATTAGTCACAAAATTGCTCTTAATTCAAGTGTTTATTTTTCCCAGAGCTGTTTCTGACACAGTACTACAGGACCAATTCACACTTCAAAACTTTCAGTAGGTGAGAACTGGTTTCGCTCTTACTGGAGCTCATCAGCTGTAGGCAACTGGTCAAGAAACATTTTTTATTTGCCATAAAGCCAAGCATTACCTCTTTTGGATTTGTTCCTTAATGAAGGAAATTGCATTTCTATAAAATTATTTCCGTATACAAAAGCTATATAAGTGGGAGCATTGTTTTTAATAGTTTTTAGTTCTGTTCCGTTTTTCTTCTAATTAGCACTATACAACCAGAAAACTTCAGGGTTACTTTAAAAACCACAAATCAAATAAATCCAATCTACAGATATTTGGTAACAGATTATCAAATAAACAAGGCTCAAAGGTATCAAGTTAGAAATAATTCCCAAAGTAAATATTAATTCATTCATTCACTAAATATGTACTGAGCATCTGTTTTGCACAAGCTTTGTTTTAGGTGGTGGGAACATTGCAGTAATAAAATGTACAGTGGACCAATACATAAGTACTACATTAAATCTTTTACTCATTAATGTTCTGCGGCCAATAAACATTAAAACATTATAGTTTATACAGCATGTATTTTAATGTTAAGTAGTTTAAGATCTGTCAGTGTTCCACCAGAAACTATAAGGAAAAAAAAAGGTCAAGTGCTTTTAAGTCCAATAGAAAAGCCTGAGTTAGTTCGGCATAGTATTTTACACAACAAACTACAAGTTTTAAATTATAAATAGTACCATTCAGGTCCCCCAAATAATACAGCTACATACTTCTCAAATAATATGAATCAAATAAGCAAAAGGTGCCTGTGAGACCTGTCCTGTTCTCCAAAATAATGGTTTGCTGTCTAACTGTAGGAAAGTGTAAACAAATCAAGAGGCTTTTTACATATTTCGCAAATCCATTTTGAAAGTAGCATACACAAAAGAATAGTAAGATTCTGACATGGCAGTTAAAGTCAGAAGCAGTCTGGGCTCAGCAGCTCACGCCTATAACCCAACACTTAGGGAGGGTGATGCAGGAGTATCACAAGTTCAAGCCCAACCTGGGCAACTTGGTAATTTTGTCTCAAAACTTAAAAACAGAAATAAAAAGGGCTGGGATATGGGGGGGTGGGCAGAAGCAAAAGCCAAATTGTAAAAAACCACTCATACAGTCTGGTATCATCTGCTCACAACCCCCAAGTAACTTGTTTTCATACAGTATACATAAACTTTAAAAAGAAATCTTGGTTAAAAATTTTTTAAATAAAACAAAAAAGAACCTATAGTACACAAAATCCCTTGTTTCCTATGATGAAAATACCTGACACCAAAATTTCATGTAAGATGAATTTATACCAATCAAATTCTACTTTTAGTTTTTGGTACCGGGGATCAAACTCAGGTCCTTGTGCCTGCTGAGCAGGCAGCGAAACCACTGAGTTAAATCCCCAGCCCTCAAATTCTACTTTTAAAAGATAAACACTGAGCTATTTCAAAGAACTATAGTTCTACAATCTACAAAAAGGAAGAAAAAACTTTTTTTCTGGTACTGGGGATGGAACTCGGGACCTTGCGCTTACAATGTAAGCACAGCGCCACTGAGCTAAATCCCCACCCCAAGAAAGAACTTTTAAAGTACAGTAGTCACATACTAAGCTTTGGTGTAAAATTTAACTTTACTTTATTGCATTTCCTTTATGTGCAACATGCCATTTTAAAAAGTTCCTTCAGTTTACCACTTTGAAAAGTGTTACATGAGGCCAAACTCAATTATCCCTGTAGGGATTCTTTAGCTTTCCACCTAAGACTCAGGCTAGTGTGAATTTTATGATATGTACATTATATCGCATACACACAGAGATGTTTTTTAAAAAGACTCAGCGTAATAGACGCAGCAGGAACCCCAATCAGCTACTAACTCCTCTGACAAGATAACAAGAAAAAGAAATGGTGGGCCATCAAGAGTCCAGGAGAAAGAGGGCCCTATATCACATTATTAAGTTATGTATGTCATATTATTGGTTTGGTATATTAGATCCATACAATTTACATACCTCTAATAACTTGTTAAATATTATGCCAGAAAGTAATTGATATAGAATTTGAAGTTGAAGCTATGTGTAAAGATCTCATCATTTGTACTTTAATGAACTTAAGAAAATATTAAAGTATTTTCAGTAACTTTCTTCCAAATCTGGAAACTAAAAGGAGGATAAAATGAAAAGATAATAACTAAATACAAGTTCCAAGTTTGCTTTACACTAAAGAGTTTTGGTTAATATTTACAATTTGAAGCTACTTTTAACCTGGGTTTGGTTAATTTGATGTGACAGTTTCAAAAAAAGTTAAATTATTCATTAGCACTTACTATGTAATACTATAGTAGATGCTTTAGTTTATGGATGAAGAACTCTTAGTAACAGACAAATGCCTCTTGGTATCTTATTACACCTTTACTCCATTTTTTTCTTTTGTTTACTTCTTAGCTCAAATATTTTTAAATCTCAGTAGCTGAGAAAATTCAAAGAAGAAGTATAAAAAAAATCAGAAAATGGTTTGTAGATTTTATCTATGATCACACTTCTGTCCCTAAAATGAATACTAAATATAACATTCACAATATATTGTAAGCCTATTTATGTCAAGGGAACATTAAAAAATTGGCTTTACTTAAAAGACAGAGATAAAAGAGCTGGAGGTCTCAAGGCATGCCTATAATCCCAGCACTCAAGAGGCTGACACAGGAGGATCACTGTGAAGTTCAAGGTCTTTCTGAATACATAGCTAGATTCTGTCTCAAAAAAATCATAAAAGAAAAACTTACATTTTATTAAAAGAAAAAACCCAGAACTTCAAGTTAAGGATTCTTACTTTAACTTGAAACTATTAGGTGACTTTGGGAAGCTAGGGCATATTACCTATCATTTTACAAAGGGAAAGATGGTTTTCTAAATTTCTAACTACAGCTGCTTTCATGCTTCAATCTACTATGTCTTCCCTAAAAAGTTGAATGCACTGCACTGGTTTACAATGTCAGCATGTAGCTATAAACATATGATTTTTAAATGAATATACTAAGAAATTATAATTAGCTATGCTGGCATTGTACAGCATCAAAGGGCTGCCCTTTATGGATGAAGGAACTCAAAGGTTAGAATGGTCACTGTGCCACATGCCAGCAACTTTTCAATTCGCAAAAAATAAAGATTCTGAAATGCCAACGGAATCTCTATGTTTATTCTATGTTTACATTCTATGGAATCTCTACTGTTTAAAGAAACTTTAAGTCTACATGAAGTTATCCAGGTGAGGTCTTAAAAAAATACATAACCCATACATCTTCTGGGAGATGCTTTTCACTAATTATACCTATCATACTATAAAATGGAATTTGAGCAGGAGCACTTGGTTGAGCAAAATCCTGGGTTCAATCCCCAGCAGAGAGTGGGACTGACAGAGGGGGAAGCAAAATGTATTCAAGTGATTACAACAACAGGCATTAAGTTTAATTTAAAAGAGGGAAAATTTCAATTTTTAATACTGAAAGATTTATGATCTAGCCAGTATTTCAGATAACACAAAAAGAAAGAAAAAAACCAGACCAATCATTGTTTGTTAGTCTAATGATGGTTTAAAAACGAAAAAATATGGAGCTGCCCAGGGAAGTGTGCGCTTTATGCAGAGATACCTCAACTTTACTACCAATGTCTCTGGAAACTATCTTTTCCCAAAGATCAACACTGCAAATGTAAAGGTTAACAATTGGGAGTTAATAATTGGGAAAGCCACACCCACAGCTAACATACCTAAACATTTACAGTAGATTAATTTTTCTTTTAATGACTACCAGCACCCCTCTTGAGGCATTGTTTCACTGATTTGCTACACATTTTTCTTAGAAAATCACCCAGCCTATCATTTTGGAAGAAATAAAAACGCTGGGCGTCAAAGGAACATGATGCACACGCAGAGAAAACTGCGAAGGACCCGGCGGCCCCTTGCAACATATTTTTACTATATGCTTCATGCCAAAGAAGATTCTGAGATAATCTGACTGCAGGTCTAGGCTTCCTAACAAAGTCAAGATGTGAATATTTACTGAAGTTGCTTAAAATGTTAACAGTCGAGCGCTAATTACATCTACACTCTTCCTCAGGACTGCTACTTGAGAACGATTCACACGTTTGGTGGAGATAAAAGATTTGAAATTCCTTCCTTACAACTAAAGTTTATGAAATGCCTCGATGTCCTTGTAAAAAAAAAAAAAAGAAAAAAAAGAGGGGTAACAAAAACAGAATAGTACTACCTCTTATCACAACCCCAAAGAATCACTTGCAAGCAACTTAAAAGCACAGTAATGGAAGTGTTTGGAAGGAAATAAAAAGTCGCCACGGCATTAAACACACACACACTGCCAACTTCAAAACGAAAAGTGAAACAGGTGACTGAGTCTATCAAAAAGCCCCGAGCAGGCAGGTAGAGCTGAGCGATTCCCAGCTGCAGCCCAGGCAGTCGGCCCCGATTCGGTCGGTCCCTAAGCGCAGCTCCCGAGGCCCCGCCGCCCGTCTCCGCGCCTCGAGAGAGGAAGGCGCGGAGCGCAGGGGCTGCGGAGAGGACGGGACGCCGGAGCGCCCTCCGGCCTAAGTCTTAATCCCTCTCCCCGCGAGAACCGGGAGGGGAGGCGAGGCAGGAGGCGGCTCGTCCCCGCCGGGGGCCGCTGGGCTGCTCGAGAGGTCGACAGCCCAGCCCGCGCCTCGCCAGTCCCTCAGGCACTCACCGCGCTCCTCCAAGCCTCAGGCCGCACCCTAGCGGGACCTCTGGCGCCCCGGCGCAGGGTTCAACTTTTCCATGGCGGGGACCCGCAGACGAGTGGGTGGAAAAGAAAGCAGAGAGGATCGAGACAATTCCCTAGCTCTCTCCGCCGCCGCCGCCGCCGGCCAAAACCCCCGCGGAGCTGACACATCAACAAAGATGGCGGCGCCGCCGAAGCCGGCCCGGCTACAGCTGAGGGGGCGGGGCTTCCTGGATAAGCCAATCGCCGCGGCGCGGAAGGCGTGACGCAAAGCACCTGGAGCTCCGGGGTAACCTGTCCGCAGTGGGCGGGGCCAGCGCAGCGCAGCTTCCAGCCTCCCAGCCCGGGGAGGACTGGCTCCGCGCTCCGCCTCGCTGGGCCACGCCGCCCCCGGTCCTGGTCAGCCGGCTCTGCCCGCAGTCCAGTCCGACGGCTCACGCCTCTCCCGACCCAAGTGGCTGATTTCTTTCAGTGGGAATCACGCACTGGACATTGTCCTTCCTCACCCTTTGGCCCATCCTCTTATGAGTCAAGGGTATAAAATAATAAAAGAATTCGAAACTGGCTTCCGGGCGCTGAGGCGCAAACACTTCACCTGACGTGGTGGGCGGGGTCGGCGGGCAGCCTACCTGTCCGTTCCATAAAATATCTATCTACAGGAGTCCTCTGGAGGTTCCGAAACGCCCGAGTTCGTCTTCTCCGAGGGGCGGCTACTACCACTGTTTGCTAATAAACTCGGCGCCTGGGTCTCCTGCCGTGGGCTCGGCGGCGCGAGGACGGCAAATACCTAAAGGCTACTAGATGCAATTGCCAGGATCGGCCCGCAGGAGACTGCGAGTCTTCCACCAGTGAAACGACGTTCTTTGGTTTGCGATCTCTTGAGCAGAGCTTCTGAGTGAAAATAGTTAATTCAGATGTGTCACAGTTTGTGAAGCAGAATAATACCGTTCTGTTAAGTTTCTTTCATACTAACTGCTGGGAAAAATTACAAAGCTGTGTAACTCTATACTTGTGTCCCCTTCAAGAAATGGTATCTCCCTCTTCGAATGAAGGTCCTGTATTAAAACACACGTTGAAATTAGAATGTTTGTGACAGTGAAGAGATGATTTAGCTTTACAACAATATATCAACCAAACAATCCTAGTGAGGTATATTATTACAAGGAGAAAAAAAAAGAAACTAGTTTCTTTTAGTTTCAGTACTCATTTTGCCAGCAATGAGGATTATTTCTGAAATTTATTTCTGAACTTATAATTGGTATTAAACATATGTCTTTGAGAACCAAGTTTTTCACTATAAAAAATATAAAATTAAGGAAAAGGTACTACCATCTTGTGTTTGAATTTAGAAATATCAGAATGAGCTCATGATGCTTTTTATTTATTTAAGAAGTTCGAAAGTGTCCATCAACCGGAAACTGAATAGATTTTTTTTTATAAAATGGAGTACTACTCAGCCATTAAGAACGAGAAACTAGACATTAGCTAAATGGATGCATATTGAAGCCATACTCTTAAGTGAAATAAATAGAACACACATGTGTAAATACCAAATAGTTTCTCTAGTGTGAGAAACTGAAAGTGTAAATAAGGATTGAGATGATTAAAAAGAATTGATCATGTGAAATAAGAAGAAAAGGTCCAAAGGGGTAGGGGAAGTGGGAGGGGTAGGGGAAAGGAAAGAAGGGAAAGGAAAAATTATGAGAAAAGGAAAAAATGGAAACAAAGTCTTTGTAAATAGGGAAGGGTGGAGGGGGTGAAAGGAGCACAGGAAATGGGGAAAAATAAGAACCAAGCTACATCATGTACAGGTGCAAGCAACCAATGATAAATGTAAACGCAGTGTATACCTAAAATGTACCAATAAAAGAATTTAAGGAAAAAAAAAAAGTTCAGGGCTGGGAGTGCAGCTCCGTGGTAGAGGACTTGCCTAACTTGTTAGAGACTTCGGGTTTGATGTCCAGCATGGGAGTAGGCGGGCAGTAAGTGTACCTATTAAAAAGGCCTACAAGGGGCTGGGGATTTAGCTCAGTGGTTTCGCTGCCTGCTGCACAAGCGCAAGGACCCGAGTTCGATCCCCGGTACCCCCCCCAAGGCCTACAAGAAGGACCAACCAGGACACACCCTGCTCTCCAGACTATGGAATTGACTATCATTTCCCACTAAAAGTTACGTGGACTGCAAAGTTAGGGGGTCTGGTTGCAAGTTGGGAACAAGAAATGTATAAGTTAGCCTAGGACATGTTGATGGCATCCTATTCGGATGTGGGCTTCACATAAGGGCTTCCTTCTGATGTATTTGCTGTGGAAGGGAGGTAACTACAGTAGCGAATTCTAGCAATCACTGTCTCAGCAAGATGGTCGGATCCAACATCGTCATAAATCCTGTGCATAGGGGGTACGTGTGACATGATACAACGAAAACCTCACTTTACCTCTTCCTTCCAATAACCCGTAACTCCATTCCTACATTAGTAAGACATCAAATTTCAAGAGTGGAGCATCCTACAAAAAGCCTGACCAGTAAGTACTCCTGGAAACTGTCAGGCCCCCAGCACAAGGAGAACCTGAAAAAGTGTAACCATCAAGAAGAGCCCAAGAAGTCAGGCTAACAAAATGGAATGCGGTATCCTGGATGGGATCCCAGCTCAGAAAAGGTAAGGGGTCGGTGGTGGGGGAGAGACCTAAATAAGTCTGAACGAACATAAACTTCAGTTTCCAAGACCGGCCAGAGATGGTGGCTTCATTTGGGAAACGCCGAAAGACTTAAGTGGCTCAAGCAACTCACGTTACTTTCAGAGGCAAGTCTTTGCGTTCACAATGTGCTCTGGGAGCTCCCGGGATTGCCTTCCCACAGGAATCTAAGCGAGCACAAGGTTTCCGCAGTGCTCCGGAGGAAACTGCAGCACTGCAGGGCGCCCCGCAATCCGGACGCTCCGAGGGCGCACGTGGGCGCTCGTGGGCGCAGACTGCGCAGGCGCCCGCAGGATCCGGAAGGCGCAGCTGGGCATTTGAAGCGAGACGAGTTTGGGAGGGTACTTGGCCCCAGGGTCTTGGCACTGGCAGCCGCCATCACCCCTAGGCTTCGGAGACGGTCGGGTCGGCGGTGCTCCCACCACTTTGCAGGTCTGGGTTCCCAGGCGCCAGGGTAGGGTGGGGGCAGCCTGAAGGCCACCGGGCTGTGAGCGCTGGTGGGCGGGCGTTGGGCACTGGACGTTGAGAGCGGGCGAGCGGGCCTTCAAGTTGGGCCTGGAACTCGAGCGAGGCCTGGAAGTGGAGAAAGGACGGAAGGGCAGGTAGAGCAGACCTGGGGACGCAGGCTGGGGAGGAAAGGTCTAGGGTACGAATTTGAGATGGGCGGATTCCGTATTGATGGAGGGGCAGAGGCTCGCAGGGGCCCTGCTGTGGGTTTGGAAAGAGCACTGCTTGTTTGTGGATTCCCTGCTTCTGTTTAACTGCAAAGCTAGAGTGCACACAGTATTAGCACTAGACTTTCCCACCAGGTAGGAGAGGAAGATGCCCCGCTGAGTTCCCGTAGATGTGAGTGGGCGCTGGTTTATTTAACGGGTGTTTGGTCCGCTGTGTGCCAGTTGCTGTTCTTGGTAGTTGGCTTTTCAAGGGCCCCTGCTGTATCTGCCCTGTTGGGCCTCTGGAGTCAGAACAAGTGCTTTTCCTTCCCTCGGTGAGACACCAGGGCACTGTGTGCAGAGTAGCACAGCTAGAAGTCTGACCTGGATTTTCTTCTCAACTGAGGGTGGTGCAGGGTGGGGTTGAGCGTGGGCACGTTATTCAACTTCCCAAATTCCCTCACTCATTTTGGGGAACAAAGAAATACTGTACTACTCAAATTACCTGCATTTTAAATGTACCAACTAGTTCCTTATAAGGGGGAAGCTTTTTGTATGTGAGGGTAGGTGTAAAAGTAGAAGGCTGGAGAGGCAGCTCAGTGCAGAGCGCTTGGCAGTAGCATGTTGGAGGCCCTGGTTTTGGATCACTAGTACTGAGGTAGAAAGTAGGGGCTGAAAATAGAAATAATAAATAGAAAGCTTGTTGTTTTGTTCTGTTCTGTTTTGTTTTGTTTGGGTTTTTTGGTGGTACTGGGGATTAAATCAGGGGTTCCCCTGTGCTAGGCAAGTGCTCAGCTGTCACTGAACTACATCCCCAGTCCTTTTTAAATTTTACTTTGAAATGAAGCCTGGCTGAATTACCCAAACTGGCCTCTTCACTTGCAATCCTCCTGCCTCATTCTTCAGAGTAGCTGGGATTACAGGCATGCAACACCCAGTTTGGTAATCCCAACCCTTTAAATACTTCAACAACGGCCACTGTGCTCCGTGGTTTAGGTAGTCACATTTAATCTTCATGTTTAGGATTTAGGAGGAAGTACTGCTGCCCACATTATACAGTCACTGAATCCTAGAAAGATGAAATGATTAGCTCAAGATAGCATTGCCAAGTGGGGAAAGTAGGACTTGGATCTGAGTTCAAAGATCATGCTCAACTGAAACATTTTTTGTAGTTTTAAAACAGTGTAGAATGACTCTCCTTGAATGTGTAAGGTTAGCAGAAAGACAAAAGCAAACTTTTTTTTTTCATTTATGGGGATTGAACCGAGGGTCTCCACACTGAGCTACATCCCCAGCCCCCCCCACACACACCTTTCTCTGAGACAGTGTCTTACTAAGTCACTAGTGCCTAGGCTAGGCTTGAATTTGTGACCGTGGCCTCACCCTCCCAGAGTCTTGGGATTACAGGCTTGCAGAACTTTCAAAGCAAACTGTAAAGGAGAAAATTCATTACAGTTAAATATCTCTGTAGTCACTCTTGTTATTAAGAGAATTAACTCACTGGGGATTTGTTCTGTCCTCTAGGTTCTGGCCTCCTAGAGAGAAAACAGGGCTTACTTGACAGTCAGGAGCCTATCCAGCGTGCTCCCAACAGCCTGAGGGACAGGAATAGAATTCCAAGGGAAGGAAAGAGGGTCTGCCCCTAGGGGGCGTTACATCCTTTGGTCAAAACATGAAGCACAGAGGCCTGGCTGAGGACACATTTAATTCTCACAGTTATGGAGGCTGGAAGTTTGAAATCATGGTGTCAGGCAAAAATGGTTGAACTGGGGTGATGGTCTCCCTAGATAGCCTTCTCCCTGAGTATTCACAGGGCAGAGAGAATGGAGGGGACAGAGCCTCAGTGAGGGAGCTTGAGCTCTCATCTCTTTTAGGCCTCTTTTTTGGCAGTCGTACCAGAGAAATTAGTGATTCCCAAACCTAAGAATTTAAGGATCCCACTTGAGATTCAGGTATGCTAGGTGGTTAACGTAGGATAAGGTTTAGTATGTAAATTGTACATGCAGTCTTGCAGGTGCTTTTAATGTCAAAATTCAAATTTAAAAGGCTCTTTGTGTCCTGATATGGTGCTTACACATAAATTTATGTATGTGTTAAAATTTATAGAACTCAGCCGACCTCAGTGGTACACACTTACAATTACTGCTATTTGAGAGGCTCAGTCAAGAGGATTATAAATTAGACACCAGCCTGAACAATTTAGTGAAACATTTAAAATGAGTAAATAAAAGGAGAGAGCTGGGGATGTAGTTCAGTGGTAGAGTGCTTGCCTAGCAAGCACAAGTCCGTGAGTTCAATCCCATGTACCATTTAAAAAATTATAGATCTATAAATCGAAAGAAAAGTGTCAGTACAGTGGTGTGATGGATTAGGAAATTAAGTTCCAAAAGATTGTAGGTGACTGAGAATTTCATTTGAACTCAAAACAGTCCTGGCTGCCAATGTTTGAAGTCTGGGATGTAGTGACTTTGCTGTTTTCTGGCCATCAGGCCACATCTGAAATTTTGTCCTCACTTTTGAGTGAAGTGTGTGGGAGGGTCTCTGACTAGAGAAAGTCTAGAATTGTGCAGAATTTAGAAGGCATTGTATCATGAGGTGAAAAACCTGGAGCAAAGGGGATATCGTGGCTGTCTCCGAGGATTGAAAAGTGGTCGCAGGCAGCAACAGAGGTTCAGTTGGGAAGAAAACGTATACATATATCCGTTAACTGTCCCCAAATAAAAGAAAGTTTGAAGCAAATAGGTCTGAATGTGTATTTGCCTGGGCATTGTAATGGGAATTTCTGAATAGAGTGGGACAGAAAGGTATCCTTCAAACTGAAACATTTCACCACAGGTGGACATTCTTTTAAGTGTAAATTCTATTTACTTGCTACTCTAAATGCTGTTTTACAGTGAGTCTAAGATCTATGTTATTAAGGTCAAATATATTTACAGACTTTTGGATTTGAGAAGAGCTGGTGCAAGGCATGAGGTTTTACTCCTAAATTTCAGTGAATATGACATAATCTAATTCTTCCTTTAAGACTGCTATAATGCTGTTTCATCAGTGAGTTTTATTTTCCCTGTCCAGGTTGTCATGAAAATATAAAATAGTTTTTATCATACAAATTTATTTTGAACGTCTCATTGTACAAAACACCATACTGGTTGCTGTGGGAAATCAAGGTGTTTTTAAAAATTTTTTGAAATAAGACATGGTTCCCACATTTAAGCAACTTGAAGTAACTCAGAAGACAAACCTATCCATAAGTAACAGTGATACAAGGTGGTAAGGAGCTGCCTGGATTAACTGGCAGCCTCATAGATCAAGACAAGTTAGGAAAAACTGTCTCTGGAGCCACTGTTTTGAGGAGATGGTGACTGTATGCTTAATTTTATGGTTTAGCTACTACTATGGTCTCTTTACTTGGGTTAGAATTAAGTAAACGCATTTTTGGGAAAAAAAGATACTTTTTCTATAAAAAGCAGTTTATCCTAGATACAATTCATACAGTGAAAAAGACAAAATTATTTCCTTATCATGTCACCTCCAGAATATTCATTATTATTTAAAATTTAGTGAATTTCATTCATTTTAACATGCAGTTCCTTTGCAGATATAATTATATTGAGTATACAGGATTTTTTTCTGATTTTCCCATTTGTATTGTAACAGACATTTTACAATTTGTTTGGAAACTAGTATTCTAAATGGTAGTTTAGTATTTTGTCTAGAAGAGGTATCATAGCTCTCTCCCTCTTTGTTTTTTAAAATAACATACATTTGTACATGAAATTGTACATATAGTATGTTTTTGTACTTTGGATTATTTTAATAAGATAATTTTTAGAAACAGAGTTGCCAAGGGCCGGGGATTTAGCTCAGTGGTTTTGCCACCTGCTGCGCAAGCGCAAGGACCCGAGTTCGATCCCGGTACCAAAAAAAAAGGGTGGAGCTTTCTTAGAAGTCTCACCAGAAGAACTTTGACTGTGGGCAGGATTAATAATAATGGTGGGCAAACCAAATAATAGTGGGCAGACTGAAAATGGCAGTCGTGTCAGTCAAGCATAGTGTCTGCTACAGTATCCTGATGTTTTTAGTATTTATCTCACGTTTGAAAAGATAGCAAATTTGTCATCTTCATGGTGATACTTATTTCCTAGCCTGTTTAACTCATTTTCATGAAGTTTTAATTGTTTTTGTAGTCATGTTTGCTGTCATTTCCTTTGTGATATTTGCCACTTCAAAAAATAGCAGCAAAACCCTTCACATACACATATATTGTGACGAAGGGATGTGGCCTATATGATACTTAGGGTTTTTGGAGTTAATGTGGTCTCTGTTTTATTATATGCTCAGTGGGAAGGTAAATACTGTTGTATTGATACCTGTTAGATCAAGTTAATTTTGTTACTCAAATACTCCACATCACTGCTTGTTTTCTCTTTTCTCAGTGTGTGTCTAAGGTAGCCATGTCTTTATCACTGTAGATTGAATTTCTCATCCAGTTTTGCTTCCTTCATCTCAGAGTGACACTATTTTGACTCACATTCCTGGCTACTGCTCTGTTTTTCCTTAGAGTGTTTCTTATATCCATGTAAAGTAAGTGTGTGTGTGTGTGTGTGTGTGTGTGTTTTGTCTCAGTATTTTCTGCCTTGAATTCTCTTTTATCTACTGTTAAAACTAACATTCCACCTTAATTTTGGTTATTTGCATAGGATCTGTTTTAGCCTTTTATTTTCAACCTAACTGTACATTTATTATATATGTACATTTTGTGAATAACATCTAACTGGATGTTTTTCTCCTTCCATCTCTCTCTGTCTTCTAATTGAGACTAACCCAGTGATGACTTGGGCTTGGTTCTGTCATCTTACTTGATGTTTTCAGTTTAGGCATTGTGATTCTATTCTAATATTTTGATGCACAGTATTTCTTGTACAGAGCTAGAGTCACTCAGTGCTCATAGTGTTCATCCTCACCACCACTGTCAAGGTTATTTCCTTTGTAATTTGACATGTCAGCCCCCCGCCCCCCATTAGATCCAATACTGTGGCTCTCAACCTGTTCCTTTGAATTAGTTGGGCTTGTTAGTACAGGTGCATTGTCCTCGGCAGCTGCAGAGTCTCCCGCCACGATTGCAGGCTTGGGGATCTTCTGTTAGGGATCCTCCCAGAATCTGGCCTACTGAGAGTGCTACTCCTTTTGAGTGTGCCTATGTGTTTCTTTTTTAAATTTTATCTTTTATGGATTATTACTGGATTAAGCTAGACCTAATTTCTGAAACAAAAAATGAGGCAGTTGTGTGAGAGTGAGAGGCAAAATTTTATTTTTTGTTCAAGACCGTGTTAAACAACAATTTAATCCCAAGTTCGATCCCCGGTACCAAAAAAACCCAAAAACAATTTAAGCATTTTTCTGGTTTTTTGGTACCGGGGATCAAACTTGGGACCTTGCGCGTGCGAGGAAGGTGGCAGAACCACTGAGCTAAATCCCTGACCCTTAAGCATTGTTCTTTAGTTTCAGTTCTCTTTAACAAACTTTATCCTCTGAGTAAGGAGAATAGGTAGAAATTTTGCATCCAGTTTACAGATAAAACTAGCCACTACTTTAAAAAAACAGTTGTTTGTTTACTTTAGATGGTTCCCAGGGACAGGAAGCTTACTATTCTCGAAGAGTAATAAAAAAATCCACAAGCCACCATCATTTCTCGATAGTTTCTCTGAGGCACTTTGCAACAAATTAAACATGAAAGCATGCAATAATGTCTTTATTTTCCACTAAAGGTGCACAGAGATATGATCCTAAAAGGAAAATAAGCACAAGTTGTAAACTATGGAAATTCAGCTGGAGATTATCAAAACAGGCTGTTTGAGAAAACCAGAGAGAATAGGGGTCAGCTGAGACGAGTCATCAAAGATGAGTGGGTTTGATGAGGCAGGTGGGAAAGTGAAGGCATTCTGGGTACTGGTGTAGCATAAAGTAGAAGGTAGAGGGGTTCTGAGAGGGTAGAAAGGTAGGTGATGACCTGATTTAAACAATAGCTTCTATTGTATCTCACAGTAAAGTGTAGGTTTTAGATTGAAAAAAATTTCTTTTAAAACATGAAAGACCTTTTTTATTCCTCATGCTTCAGAAGCTCTTGATTGTAAGCAATGGTGTGGAACTCTGAGATTAGTTCTTAAATGTCTCTTGTTGGTCTGATGGTGAATTCTTTTAAACTTGAAGCTTGTAGTTATCCATAGAGAAATTTTCTTTTCTTGTGCCTTTAAGCCGAGTTTTAATGTCAGAGTTAAATGTGCTTTGGAATAGTTTATGGGAATTACCTCTTACGTAAATCTTTGAAAGAAGTCATCTGTGCCTGCAGTTCTGCTTTTGTAATTCAGAGTTGCTTCTTAAATATATTTCTTTCCTTAGACTTCTGTGAATATTAAATTACCACTTCATATGATGTCAAGAAACTTGGAAGCATCTGTTTGTCAAATGACAGAGCCTAATTTTGAAAAAGATGAAGTCAAGCTTCCATCACACGATTCTTTAAGAACTCCTGGAGGACATCATAACCATCCTAATTTCAGATTGAAAAGTCCAGAGAATGGAAATGGAAACAATTTTTTGCTTTGTGAGCAAACCAGACAGTATTTATCTAGACAGGAAGACAATTCAGTATCTTCAGATGCTGGTGGCATCAATGGAGAAGTGGTCGGATCCAAAGGAAACAGAAAGACAGGTGAGTGAAAACCACTGGCTGGCTTACGTCTTTTCGGGAGGGGGGGGTTCTGGGGATTGAACCCAGGGCCTTTGTACTGAGCTGCATCATCACTAGCCTGTTTTTCTTTTTTTTTTTTTGAAATTTTGAAGCAGAGTCTTGTTAAATCACTGAGTTACCCAGGCTGGGTTTGAACTTATAGTTCCCATGCTTTAGCCTCCTAGAGTGCTGGAATAAGAGGAATACACCATCACACTGCCTTGGGCTTACTACTTCTTGATTCTGATAGTTTCTCTGACTTATCACAAAAATATATATTATTGGGACCGGGGATTTAGC